GTGATATCGAATGTTATCTTCCCGAATTTTGCATAACATTTCATTGAATTCAAATATACTTTGTAAGAGCATATTTTGTGGAGCTGTGACACCAATGAAGGCTTGTAAAGAAATTTCAGGTTGATCTGTATTAGGATTTGTCTCTTGTTCCAGAGATTCTTCCTCTTCGTCTATGGAATCAATACAAAATAATTTCTTGCATTGATGGCCCTGAGTGAAGACTTCATCACAGTTGAAGCAGAGACCCTTAAGCCTCTTTTCATCCATCTCAGATCTAGTCAATTTTCTTGCAAATTTGGTGTGCTATGGAGGGGAGAAATATGTTGTTTTGGATCTGCGGGCTTCTAATAGTTGCGAACGAAAAGGTTGTCCCTTGCGTTCATTAAGCCAGGATAACTCATTTTCGCTGCCAAATCTAGAGGGATTATGCAACTCAACCTCAATTGCTGTATAATCCCAAGACCCCTAATATAAAGTTTAATCTTTGAGATTGTGTGAGTGTACCAGCCCGGGAAACTAACTACTCAAACTTTCTTGGTGATCTGTCACGGACCCAATCTGTGGCAACTTAGCCAATTCTCCTAACTTTTGACTTCTGATTGGTGGCCCAAAATGAAGGTTACAATAACATTTGAATTCATCCCAGGACGGTTGAAGCATATCTATCTCTAGTTGAAGAAGCCAAAGTTGAGCATTCCCCTCCAAATGAAAAGAAGCAAGTTCGACTTTTCTTCCTCTGGAGTTTGTTGGTGTTGAAAGAAGTGCTCACATCTGTTAACCTTGGAAAATCAAACTTTGTATACCTAAGAATGATGGAACTTCATCCTGCATTTGATCTTGACCCTCCTGCCACTCCCCTTTTACCCTTCAACCCCGAATCTGATTGGTCTGTTCAGTTGATTTAGAATCAACCTTCGAATGTGCTAGATCCTTTGTGAGTGCGTTTAAGCAAGCATTTATTGCCTCCTGTCTCGCTGTATTGGTTGCACGTTCTTCTTGAAACAAGTTCACCAATTGTGGCTGATGTTGAATTTGGTCTCCCATAACAAACACCCATCTCTAATATCAAGTTGTTATGGTCCCCTGATATCGATTGGTTATGGGGGGCTGTAGTGTGAAATCAAATGTTTTCTTCCTACGACCTATGGTGCTGGTTTTTTCAAAGAGAACCTGCAATCTCTTGAGTTTGAAGTACTCTAAGAGTTTGTAATTTCTGCATAACATTTCACTGAATTCGAATACACTAAAGGGTCGTTCGGTATAAAGATCAATAATGCATGGATTAGTAATGCAAAGATTATTTTTATCAAGTGTTTGGTTCATTGTTTCTTACCTAGTTTTGTGTGTGGTTTAAAACTCCACAAAAAAAAAATTCTTTCCTATTATACCCTTGAGTAATTGTGAGATTTTTTATTTCATGTAATTGGATCAAGGTAAATTATTTACGGACAATATTATTTTCTCTAGCATTTTTAACTAGCTAGGAGAACAAAATTTTTATTGTCATGTTCAGTATTTTCTCACTTAAATTATTCAAGAGTAAACGATTATCATCTTAATAATTGGAGTTAATATTTCAAAAGGTCACACAACTATAATAATTTATAGAGAAAATTTATTGAACTTTGATTTGTATCAATAAATTAAAAAAAAAACTATAAAATCAAGAAAATAAACAAAATGTTTAAAAAAATTTGAGGGGGTATTTTTGTCTTTACCTAGATTAGTCCCATGGTATTAGTTCTAATACCACCAAATGGAAGGTATTAGTTATACACTCTCTAATACCATGTATGGTGTATAACTAATCTATGGATTGATTATACCAAACATAGTACTAAATAATACCACACATAATACTTGGACTATTTCACCTAATACTCCCTACCAAACAACTCCTAATTACACTGGTGTTTTGTATACACTCATCTGAAAACAAGGAAAATAACTTCCTACTACAACCGAAATGAGAAAGTGGAGGAATAACCTCCTTACTGCAACAACTGCTACATAAATGCTTAAAAGCAGTAGTAATCTACTGTGAACACTTAATCAATAACTTATAAGCTAAAGTAATCTACTCTCTAATTTCCTTAAATCTCCCTTGTGTAAACCGTTGATCATTAATCTTTTCATCATTCTAGTTGAATTCAAACCGAATCAGAATCTTGTGAACACTGAAATGCAGTTCGACTAACTACCACTGTCCTTCAATCTTAATAAATGCTATCATTTTCATTGCAATGCGTCACTAAACTTAAACCTTGTTGCTAACCGAAACAATGTTAATCATATCATAAGTAGGTACGTTACTAGGACAGAGGTTTGAGTTGACGTCTTGAAAACATCTGGGTCCGAGTTTTCATTGCTTTGCTAGATATCTTAAATATTTGTACTTGTTTAGAAATGGTCAAAGGATTGAGGGGACTGAAATCGGAGTCTGATTTTAATGTATATTTTTCCTATTTAAAGTTATTTATCAGCTTATTGACAATTATGCCACTAAAATTGAAAACCTTATAGATTTATTCATGGTTGCTTTAGAGATAAAGTAAATAGGATTGTAGTTTTTTATGCTTATCTAACTCGCTGTTTCAGTAAAAAGTTTGTCTTCTGTATTTTATAGGACCTTATTGCTGGATTTGATCAAGAAGCAGCTGCTGTGGTAATGGCACGACAAGTTTCTTTCAAAATGGAAACCGAGGTATCATCCTCTTGGTCTTATTACAGATGATTTGACCTTATATCTGGTTGTATGTTTTGTTTTCTGTCCATGAAGTTTGCTTTCTTTACTATGACTTGCTATCTTGCACTATTGTTTCTTTACCTTTTGGAAACCCACTTCCTCTTTCTTCTGCAGGCTGATTTTGATCCCATCAGATGGCTGGATAAGTCATTGATACACATATGTTCTCGGTTTGGTGACTACCAAAAAGATACTCCATCTTCTTTCACTCTATCTCCTCGTTTCTCAATATTTCCCCAGTTTATGTTTCACTTGCGGCGGTCTCAGTTTGTCCAGGTATATTTTCATCTTGATTGTGAACATCAAGCATATTACTTTCTTACATTTCTGTCTCTACCATCATGCTCAATTTTTAAGCATCAACTCTGGCTCAGGTCTTTGGAAACAGTCCAGATGAGACGGCATATTTTAGAATGATTCTGAACAGGGAAAATGTTGCTAACTCAGTCGTGATGATTCAGCCCTCTTTGATATCTTATTCTTTTCATTCTGGTCCGGAACCAGTCCTCCTTGATGTGGCGGCAATTGCTGCTGAAAGAATCCTTCTTCTTGATTCTTATTTTACCATTGTCGTGTTTCATGGATCAACTATTGCTCAATGGAGAAAACTTGGATATCATGAACAGCCTGAACATCAGGTAGCCTTCTTTTCAGTCTGAACTAAACACTAAAGATTTAAAAACTTCTATCAGTTGCTGATCCGAGGATTTTATGTCAAATAATTTGATCTCAGACTAGCTTCTTTTCTTTGCTGGTTTGAACATGATATATAGGATTACCCCACAGTCACACATGCGTGAGAGAGTAAATAACAACTTCGTATTTCAATTGATTCATGGATCCATATTCAAGGGAACGATTTGTGCTCTTTTGCATCGAATGCAGACACTTCAAAGAGTCACCGTGACTGGATAGATGCAACACTGGTTGCACATGTGTTTGATCTAATCATGTTTTCACCATCAGACGCATGATATTAGTCGGGGGCTTTGGGGGGGGGGGGGACTTGAACAATTAAAAATCCATAAACCAGCTTTTACTTCTTGTTTGATACAAAAATCAAAGTGTAGCATCAGCAATGATGTGGAAAAGGTGTCCTCAGCATCCTTGTGTTCTGTGACCTACAATTTGCCTTGTAGCCTGCTTTAAACAATTCATCTTATTTCTGGGTCCATTTTGGATCTGGTCCTGCTGTCTATGTCATGGTGCACATAACTCATGATGATTTGGATTTGAGTTTACTCATCATTTATGTGACCTTAAATTTACTCTCTATGGCAGGCATTTGCTGAACTATTAAAATCTCCTAGAGAAGATGCAGAGGCCATTGTTCATGAAAGATTTCCTGTACCTCGTTTGGTCATTTGTGATCAATATGGATCTCAGGTTACTAACTATGCTTTCTGTCTAGTACTCCTTGATGTATATATATTTTCTGTTTTTTTGATGCATGTGCCTTTATTTAGATTTTACAGCAGATGTTGATCTGTAATCTTCTGTTTTGTAGTTCATTTTTACATATTTGAATTTTTTCTTAAACAGCGAGAGGTCTGTGATATAACATTTTTGTCTGCAGTTCATGTTCTGAACAAAAGATTCGGATTGACACTTCGAGTTTGATATCTGTGCTAAAATGTCGTGTTAAAGATTTTGGCTTTCTTCTAACTAAACATGCTTTCTTCCTTTGGAACTTGGCCCAAAAGCTAATCATGTTTCACTAATACTGAAAGAATTTGTTTGTGTTGCTTATTAAGCAGCTCTAGTAGAAAAACTCTGGAAACAATCATCAAACACTTTCAGTTTGGCCAAATTTTTACCTGCTTTTGATATATCTTTTCTTCAAGCTGCCTATTGCATTCTTCTCTTTCTTTGTCGTAAGATCTGGTGGCGATAGTGAAAACTAGATCTGGAAATCAAAATATTTGTGATAGTTGCTCATTCCTGGAAAGATTTCATCATCTTTTTCCAAAGTTGATATCAACTTGGAGTTATCTTCTGCTTGTATTATATAGAATAACTTTCTTTTAGGCAAAAGTAATTTTATAACAAGAGTAATCTTTTCTATACAGGCCCGTTTTATGCTAGCAAAGTTGAATCCCTCTGCCACTTACAACTCTGATGCTCCTCCAATTCCTGGTGGAGATATTATATTCACGGATGACGTTAGTTTTGAGGTTTTCTTGGATCATCTGCAGCGGTTGGCTGTTCATTAGTCTATGACACATCTTCGAGTCTAGCGGAGAATTTTGTAAACTTTTTTTCACTTGGATTGATTGTACAGCAAGACAATTTTAAAGTTTAATTTTGAAATCATTTTTACATGGCTTATTTATCTGCAATATCTTGTAATGCTTCTGTATTATGAACTCTCTGAGGTTTTGATAGAACATCAGAGAAAGAAAAAAAACTTGTAACATTGTGGTGAGAACTAACATCTCTACTGCAAGTGAATTCAGTTTATAATTATTAGGGCCTGAGTTATGTTATAAATTCAAAATTAAATATACTTACACACGACAGTAAGTCGGATAAAATACATTTGGTTTTCTCTTGCTACGATTTTGCCTACTGTTTTCTTGCTTTTCTTTTTCGTAATTGTTGTTTAAAGTTTCTCTATTACTCCCATTGTTTCTGCTGCCTTCATGATGAATCTATTATTAATTTTCTTTTCACTCTTCCAGCAAAAGATGTGGAATATTTCTATATTGGAGTATTTCCTATAAATTTGGCACTATTCTACTAATTATGAGATTTATATACATACAGCTTTGAATATATTCAACTAATCAAATTTGGCTGTCTCTTAAAATACCATCAACTATGGCTTAATTATTTTCTTCCTTTGTCAAGCTGTTTTTAGTGTTCCCATCACTCATCGGTGCTACTATCTAATCTCTCCGTTCACTTTAACCACTCATTTCAAATTATTTCCCAAAGTCGGTTAAAAGATTATGCCCCAATTAATATGAATATCATGGTAAAATATGCATTTCGTTTCAATTTACTAGTCTTACTTTTCTTTTTAGTCCATAACATAAAGAATGCCCAAAAGGTCATAGGTTTTCATTTACTGAATGCAACTCATGGTAATTGATGGAATTGCTATTGATGTTGGTGAAATATGTGCAGGGCATTGAGGGAGGACGAGTTGAGATTTATATTGTACGAACTCTTCAACAATATGTCAGATTCTCAAAAGATGCACTGCCTTTGGCGTACTCGACATGCATCCATAAGCATTTTTGAAGAGTTCGAGCAACATAGGTTGAGACTGCATACATACACCAATTGTGATCTCTCACAATAAGAGTTCGATGTCATTGCATTGACCATTGGTAAGGTAACATTCTTTTTAAAACGAAAATAATGAAAGCATAATCTTCTTGGGTGCCTTTTTATTTATCTTACATGATTTTACAGGATGATAGAATTTCTTAAGCACATAAAATTTGTGTGCTTGGGCTAGTTTTGCCACTTTATTTTACAACTGAAATACCAAATTATTAACCAAGCAAAGTGATGGGGAAAAGTTCTATAAATTCTTTATCACTCAAATAGAACTTGGTTTCCAAACTATCTATCCCCTTTGCTGATGATGGGGTTCTGATTTCCTTTCTTCAGAACAAAAATCTTATACCAGCTCATGAATTTGGCTGTGAACTCTGCAGTGAAAAAAGAGAGTCAATCAACATTGATTCTGAACACGTTTCTTGAGTAAATCAGACGTTACATAAACATGAAGTATGAGTTATCTATACATATGGCCTGAAGGTGAATCTAAAGTGTCAAGAAACTATAACCATAGGTGAAAATATATAATCCTAAAAGTTTATGTTTGTCGATGCATGTTATTTACAAATGATATTTGTTATAATTAACGGAACTTGCAGATGAGAGTAGAGGAGCACACTCATCTAGGATAAATAGATGTAGGACAAGATTTCATCTAGGCAAGTTCCGCGCCCATAGAAAATTATGGTGAAATAAGATTCAATGGGATTTTTGTAGGAAATATGGAAGGAAAATAATATCCTTAGAGAATGCTCAAGTTTATTATAGGCTACTCAAGGCCACTTGAGATGATTACAATCATCAACTACATCACTATTTATATTACTCAAAATAGAAAACAAAAAGTCTTGCACAAATAACTAAATACATGTATCACAATTTACTAGATACATGTACTACGAAATTTTAAAAAGACTTCTTGAAAAACTAAGAGACAATTTTGGAAGACTAAACATTGATGCATTAATTCCAACACTCCCCCTTAATGCATTTGCTTGATAACTCCAATGCGTTCTCGAAGCCTTTATCTTGTGCTTCTCAGATAAAATGATACTTGATGAAAATATGCTTTGATCTTTCATGGCTGACTGGATTCTTGGCAATTGTGCTGATTTGTTATCACAATACAGAACAATCTTTTTTTTTGTTTTTCACCAATGTCTTCAAATATTCTCCTAAGCCAAATAGCTTGAGAAGTAGCCTTGGATGCTGAAACATATTCTGCTTCGGCAGTGGATTGAGCAACAACACTTTTTTTTTTGATAACCAAGAACAAATGTTTGATCCAAATAAGAAAGCATAACCAGAAGTACTCTTCATGTCATTTATACTTCCAGCCCAATCACTATCAGAATAACCAATTAAGTTCAAATTTCTACCAAATTTGTACATTATCCCATTATCCATTGTTCCTTGCAAGTAGCGTAGAACACGCTTTGCAGCTCCAAAATGCACTTGGCTTGGTTCTTGCATGAATCTGGATAATAAACTAGCAGCAAACATAATATATGACCTTGTTGAAGTAAGATATAACAAACTTCCAATCAAACTCCTAAAAAATGAACTATTAACTTTCTTTTCTCCATCATCTTTTCTAAACTTCTCATTTGCTGCTAATGGTATGGCCATAGACCTGCAATCCACCATTTTGAACTTTTGAAGAATAATTTTAGTATACTTCTTTTGAGAAATGAAAATTCCTTCTTTCACTTGAGAAACTTCAATGCCAAAGAAATAATTTAGCAATCCAAGATCACTCATTTCATAAGCTTGCATCATATGTTGTTTGAAATTTTGCATCTATCTTTACATCATTTCCTGTAAAGAGCAAATCATCCACATAGAGACAAACAATGATAATGCTGCCATGTTCTTTCTTCACATACAAAGTGGCTTAACTTTTACTTCTCTGAAAATTATTTTTCAGAAAGTATGTATCAATTTCATTGTACCAGGCTCTTGGAGCTTGCTTCAGCCCGTAAAGAGCTTTTTTAGTCTATACACCTTTTCTTCGCCCCCTTGAACAAAAAATCCTTGAGGTTGCTCAACATAAATCTCTTCATCAAGTTTTCCATTCAGAAATGTTGATTTAACATTAAGTTGAAATATCTTCCATATCTTTTGTGCAGCAACAACAATTATAGTTCTAATTGTCTCAAGACGAGCAACTGGAGAGAAAGTTTCATAAAAATCAATACCTGGTTTTTGCGTGAAGCCTCTAGCAACCAACCTTGCTTTGTGCTTTTGAATATCTCCTTCCTGATTGAGTTTGATTTTGTAAATCCATTTTAGACTTACAATTTCTCTTTCTCTAGGAATAGCCACATGCTCCCAAGTATTATTTTTTTCGATTATTCGAATTTCTTCTTCCATGACTTTCTTCCAAACATCATGCTTTATTGCTTCTTCATAATTTTCTGGCTCAACACCGGCAAAATTATATCTTTGATAAATGTCACTCAACATTTTTGTTCCTCTTGGAGGCGGTTCTTCATTATCTGAATCTAGGATTCCCCCCCCCCCCCGGAGAGACATCTTCATCTTTCTCATCCTCTTCTTGATTTGAAGATATGGTAGTAGTATTCTCTATCTTTTTATCTTCCCAATTCCATGTTGTTTTTTCATCAAAAATGACATCTCTACTAACAACAAGTTTGTTAGTTTTGACATCGAGAAGCCTATATCCTTTTGTCACATCACTATAACCAAGAAAAACACATTTTTGACTTTTTTCATCCAATTTTGTTCTTTTCTCAGTAGGTACATGAGCATAACAAATACACCCATAAATTTTAAAATGAATTACAGAAGGTTTAATTTTACTCCAAGCTTCAACTGGTGTTTTGTCCTTTAGTGTCTTTGTTGGACACCTGCTAAGGATGTGAACTGTTGTATGCACTTGTGCCCAAAAATATTTTGGTAGTCCTTTCTCATTCATCATAGTTTTGGCCATTTCAACAATTGTTCTATTTCTTCTTTCAGATACACCATTTTGTTGAGGAGTATACCATGCTGTAAGTTGCTTCTGAATGCCTTCATTTTTGCAATATTCTTCAAATTCTCGACTTGTGTACTCACCTCCTCGATCATGCGAATGGTTTTGATGCTGCAACTTTTTTACTTCTCAACAAGGGCTTTAAATTTCTTGATTGTAGCAAATGCTTCTGACTTTTCTTTCAAGAAATAAACCCAAGTCATTCTTGAGAAATCATCAATAAAGATTAGAAAATACCTTTGACTTCCAAGAGATGGAGTCTTCATTGGTCCACAAATATCGGTATGAATTAGTTCCAAAAATACACTTTCTCTCCAAGACACCCCTTTTGGAAAAGACTTCGTGTGTTGCTTTCCCATTATACAACTTTCACATGTATCCACCTCGGTATGTATCTCAGGAAGGCCTTGCACCATGTCCTTTTGCTTGAGAAGCTTTAAACCATGAAAATTCAAGTGACAAAATCTTTTGTGCCAAAGCCATGAATCATCTACAATTTCATTTTTTAATGCATTGTAATGAAATTGCAAAGGGAAGTTCCTTTTTATCATCTTTACTTCAACAATGACTTGATTTGGCTCAATTTTATCATAAATCTTGCAATAATTATCTCTAAACACAAGAGAATAACCATTTTTCATGAGTTGACCAACACTAAGCAAATTTTCTTCCAAGTCAGGAACATAAAGAACATAATGAATTTGCTTACCGCATCCTTTCATGTTGATCGAAATAGTACCTTTACCTTTCGCATCAACTAAGGCTCAATTCCCCATCTTCACTTTAGTAGTGATGCTATTATTAATTGAGAGGAAAACCTTTTCATCTCCAGTCATGTGATTAGTACAACCACTATCAACATACCATTCATTGCTTTTTGTTAAAGCATCAGATTTAGAAGCAAAGAAAAGATTTTCTTCCTTTTCTTCCTCATGTTTTTCACAAAAATTTGCTTGCTCCCGTTTCTTGTGCCAAAAATCCTTTTCAACGTGGCCAAAGTTTTTACAAAAGTTACATTGGGGCTCGCCTTTGTGCCAATATTTTTCTGCATTGTGATTAGTCTTTTTGCAAACTTTACAAAAAAGACTAGAGTTTTTCTCACCTTTTTCTTCAACCTTCTTAGAAGAACCATCATGATCCTGCTTCTTTTTTGGCTTTTGATTTTTCTTCTGATGATTTTTTTAGAAATTTTGAGAATTCTCATTTATTTTAGACTGGAAAGCCGTCTCTTTGGGTTGATCTTCACGAAAAAATCTTTGTTTCTCGTGTGCACGAAATGATCCAACTAGCTCTTTGATGGAAAGCTTAGAAAGATATTTCGTCTCCTTAGTGATAGCAACGATGTACTCATACTTTTCTGTGACACTAATTAGAATCTTTTCCACAACTTGTTGTTCAGAAATTGTATCACTATGATTTCTCATTTCATTTACAATATTCATGACTCTTGTGCAATATTCATCAATTTTTTTCTGATTCTATCATCTTTAAATTTTGAAACTCTCTTCTAAGAGTTTGAAGATTTATAGTGCGTACCTTTTCGTCACCATACACTTTAGTTTCCAGAAAATCCCAAGCTTCATTTTGCAGTCTCACAAGTAGCAATTTTTGCAAAATATGCTCTTGAGACTCCCATTTGAATTTTGCTCAAGGCTTTTGCATCTTGACGATAATTAGCCTCAAGATTTTTCATCTCTGCTGCTGTAAGATCACCATCGTTGTCTGGCTCTTCAAAGCCATTTGCAACAATAGTCCACAAATCTTCGGCTTTCAAATGTGTTCTCATTCTTATCTTCTAGTATTCAAAATCAGTTCCATCAAAAAATGGAGTAAGAACAACTGAAGAATCAACACCTTCATTTATTTTGGATGCCATATTTTTTTCTTCACCTAACCCCAGATTAAGAACGAAAACCTGCTCTTGATACCAATTTGTAGGAAATATGGAAGGAAAATAATATCCTTAGAGAATGCTCAAGTTTATTATAGGCTACTTAAGGTCACTTGAGATGATTACAATCATCAACTACATCACTATTTATACTACTCAAAATAGAAAACAAAAAATCTTGCACAAATAACTAAATACATGTATCACAATTTACTTGATCCATGTACTACGAAATTCTAAAAAGACTTCTTGAAAAATGAAGAGACAATTTTGGAAGACCAAACATTGATGCATTAATTCCTAACAATTTTGGTGCCTAAAGACGAATAGTTATGATGTCTACGCTTAGTCCTCCAAGATAATGACAAATAATTCAAATGCTTGGCTTACCTTCAATTTTCATAAATTTGTGAACAATCTTTTTTACTGCATCGTTATCACCTTTACCCTGCTCGAGATCATTTGAATTTATCTGGAAGAAGGAATAATGAAATGTTGAGCTAATATTTGACTCTATGAAAATGTGTTGGCGAACATATAATGAGTATTTGATGGTGAAATGTGTAAACTTCCTTACATTATACTTCAGTTTCAAAATGTCCATTTCTTTGTGGAACTGGTCATCTAAATTACTCTTTAGTTCTTCAAACACAGTCTGCATATCACAGAATAGCGTAAAATGAAGTTAGTGAAAAGCTTCAATTATTTCAAACAAAAAGGTATAAGGACTAAGAAGCTCTTACATTAAAGATGAACTCAGCAGATACGTTGTGCTCTATCAAATTCTGCAATTTCCCACGAATATCGTATAGCCTGAGAGAGAAATGAACTCTTGATGTTACTATTCTGAGTGCTGGAAACTCGTAATTGAGGAGTCAAGCAAGAGCGTCAATATGAAATAAATAATGCCCTCATAGTCATAGAAATGACCTTCCAATGTACTCTTTCCGTTTCATTTGATATGACAGTATTTGACTGGACACAAAGTTTAAGGAAAAAAGAATGATTTTTGGCATATACCCAAAGAACCCTTGTTAGACATATTGTAATATTTATATGGCTGTAAAGTCATGTAAGTTTGAAGAGTTTTGTAATATAGAAAGATATTATCCTGTTCGAAACAGACTAAAAAAAAGGAAGTCACATAAATAACTTATTGATGATGATGTGAAATTGTACTCACTGCTTAGGACTTTGCTCTTCAATTATGTTTTTAGCGATCTCTGCAATGTCGTCTTCCCATCCTGTCTTGATTTCTTGATTCTCAGTCAAGGAAGTGCTGATAATAACACATTCTCCTATAGTTAGTGAGTGGACAATACGAAAGATGAATCTTTTCGCAAATAGACAATCCAGATAAACGAATGTCTAAAATTAAATTCTCTATTAAAACGTTACTTGAAGTGCCAGGTAGCTTCAAAAGATCGAATTGCTTGGCGTAGGTTACTTTTAGAGTTACTAGCAATCCTCGCTGCCATTTGGTGTGGTAGTTCTATTCCTTCCTGTTGTGCTATGAATTTCAAGACGTCTACAATCTGTCAACAAGAAATGATTTTTTCGAGTTAATTTATGCATATTGAATCTCTAAGTCTAATTTATGTAAAATATTTTTTATGTTCTTGATGTATGTATATTGAAACTGTGTGTACGAACCTCATCATCTGAAGGTTTTTGAAGATGAAAAACGTTGCAAATAGACTTAATTGGCTGGAGCTTTGTGCTATCGCTGCAGCAAAAGAAGACCTTATAACAACCTTCATATCTCTCTATCATCCATTTGATATATAACAATGCGTCTGTCGATAGCTTGTCTGCCTCACCAAGAATGATAGCTGTGTACATTACAAAATAAAGCGATAACATTATGTCCAATTTGCGGTGCTAGCTAGAAATTGAAAAAAAAGGCGGTAATACCTTTACAGTTATGATCAGGATTGGAAGGTGCAGATCTACTGGATGATTTGTGCTTTCTCTCCTTGATTAGTTGTACTAGGACATGTTTCTCATAGCCTTTAGTTTCAGAGAGATTGATCTCAACATGTTTGTTCGATTCCTTCACATTTACTTTGATGCTGGGAACTGATTCTCCCTGAAATGCATTTTGAGAATAAGCTACTTTCACTATCTTCATATTTTGTGTCCTCTGAACCTTAGTTTCCGAGTTTAGTATGCCTAACTTATCGAAAGAAATACAATAGAAAGAAAGATGGCAGGGAATTGATACCTTTAAGTGGAACACCTTGCACTTATCTCTTGCCTGTAAAAAAGCAAAGAGATCATCACGAATCATGGAAAGGTATGTTAAATTTTCTATTTTATTAGTCTGATTTTTCAGGTTACTAGTTCCACTCGTATGACAGTGTTTGTAGAAATCTTTGAGGTGGCTTAATACTCTCGTGTTATTTATCGTTCCTCACATAGAGGTTTTACTACTGAAGTGTCGATGCAACACAGTTTCTGTATTGAACTTTTAATATTTTTGTAGCTTTAAAGAGGATTCATAAACATACCTGTACTTTATCGTGTCCATAAATTTCACGAAGCAGAGCAAATATCATGGTTCTTTTCCCTACTCCTGGCAGTCCTGCAAATATGAAATGGCGAATACTGCTATCTGTTTCTGCCTGCAAAATTTTATAATCGAAAAGATTTGTAGTGTGCTAGTATTCTTTTGCTATCCATAAGGAAAGTTCCGAAAAAAAGTTGTTGAAGGATAATTTTCATACCAGAGCCTTCAACTCTAGAGCAATATTTCGATTGCATAGAAAATGTTTAAGAGCATTAGGCCTATACTTGTCAGCCCATGTAAATCTTTTGTCAATATGTTCTTCAGGAACTGTCGTATCTTTCACATTTGTGGTATCTTTTTCATCATGAACACTTTGAGTTGGTGAACCTGGTAATGGTAGTTGTACTGATTCAATTTCTTCGTCTTGCGATGTTTGTAATATTAATGGAGTTGGTGGTGGAGATGGTACTGACAATTTTGTCGGTGATGTTACTGGCGGTGCAGGTGCAGGGGCTGCAGGTAGTAGTACTATATTATTTGTTTGCATTTCTGATGCTCTCTCCCTCAAAGGCTTCCCCTGATCTAATTGTGAAATTCTACTTTTGCTTCTTCTTCTAACTACTTTTGAATGTATACCAAGTTCTTCTCCGATTGTCGTTCTGATTACTTTTGTCTCTGATGAAGAAGGATCACGGATGTTCTTGTTCCCCGAAGAAACATTCAAGAAGCTGGAGGATGCTCGTTCTTCTTTGCCTTTGCGAACAAAGTAAGATGCACTCCACTCTTGTACCTATTGTAACATAACATAAATATACTTACATAATACGCTTCATAGATGAGATGATCATAAACTTCAATAATAACACGTACCTTGATAGCTAAATTTGATTTAGAACTGTTACTTGTTGACGAAGATGATAAGCTGCTATCTTTTCCATGAGTACTACCTGCTAACGACTTCTGTCGATTAATCTCTTTGGATGAATCAGTAAGTCCTTTGTAATATGGACTTCTTGCAGAGTACCTCTTCTCTTCTTGAATTGCATTTCTTTTGTTGAATTCATCGAGGTTATTTTTACTCCTCGAGTTCTTTGAAGACGATGATCCTCTCTTTCTTTCCTCATCGATTTTTTTATGCCATGATGGTTTCAATGAGTCATCTGAATTTGTTGATCTAACATTTTGAGTTTCTGATATCCTGCAAGGAACAGATTTTGAACGCGGGATCAATGTATTTTTCGACATTATTGAAGAGCTGAGATTGAAACTTGCTGTTTTTTCTTTAGTAGGATCAATTCAAAGTTAACAAAATGAAGAGGTTTGATGTGAATGGAAAAAAAGAGATTTGTTTCTACATGGGCAATCATTAACAGATTCTACGTTATTAACAATGTTTTCTTTCCTTTTTGTTCATCAATGTACACAATGGCGGAGTCAGAATTTTCACTAAAAAATAAGCATATGAAAATGGAATCAGAATTTTCACTAAGAAATAAACGCATGAAAATAAAGTAAATTGCTCTGGTCTCTGTTGCATGGCTGTACTATTAACGTAGACAACAAGCAGAAACAGCTGATTACTTGAGGTTAATTTATGTGTAATTTTTTTAACTTATTGTTTGGTTCCTTCCATTTCCAGGGGTTTTCGTGTTGTGTATCACATCTTCTAACACCAATTTAAATATCTGTGTATCACACTATAAAATCATTTATTTGTAATTTAGCAAAATGCTACGGGGTTGGATGAGGTGGGGAGTGGGAGTTCGAGGAACTCAAAGGATGGGGACGTTGAATGGGTGGGAAGAAGATATATGAATTTGAAATGTTATTTATGAAACTTGTTTTTTATACTACTAAAACTCTAAAAGATAATTCACTTTTTTCATTTTAAGGAACAAAAAAATATTTTTCAAAACATTTTGACAGATCAAATATGAAAAAATTAGAAAACATTTTCCTCCATACCAAACAGGTCTATCCAGTTTACTCTATATGTGATTATCTTCTAAAGAAATAGTCATGTTGATTAGCTTTGTCATTTTATATTAGGTTACCATCAAAGTTTATCTATAATTATCTTTTAGGTAAGTGGTAACTTGAATGCATGTGTAACGCTCCACTTTTGAGTAAAACCAACAACTCACCTCAACTTTTTAGGAAACAAATGAGGAATCACGCGTAGACGAGTTTGACCATTTTTCTACTCTATAAAACCTCTAAAATTGAGATTGTTCTATAAAGCCCCTAAAAATTTTAAACCTTATTACTATCAAATGTCCTTAATGAAATTATTGTTTCACTATTTCATATATAGTTTCCTTTATCTACGACGGATAAATATTTATTTTTGTATTAAATTAATTTAAGTAAAACAAGTAACTAAAAAGAAAAATAAGTAGACGTCACTATTCCTATAATACTATTAATGGATTTATGATGTAGACATCTTTATCCTATAAACACAATTTTCAGCTTTTTACATAAAAGAAAAAGAACAGCTTTTCTCCATGCTATTAATAAAATTGTTTTCTATAAAAAAGGAATATATTTTTTTTTAAAAATAATTTACAAACAATAACCTTGTCAATGCAGTAGCTGTCAAAAGTTGGATCAATTCTAACATATCACGACTCCAAATCTCATTCCAAACCAACCTTTTTTGTTTTTTTGGCATTTCAATATTTATATTGGAGTGTAAATTGTGATATACTTGATAAAATTTATTTTTTAATTTAAAATTTTAAATTCAAATCTCTGATTAAGAATAAAAAGATGTCAAATCATCTTACTGCGATCAATCCAAGTTGATTAATAAAAAAGATGACAGCCTAATTTGTAAAACTTAATTGGGTCAAAATTGTTACAAATATAATATCTCTTTAAATATTGACTATTGTATATCTCGAAGGATACGTACGTGTGGTGAAACTTTGGGATTTCCACAATTATTATTTTTTACAAAGCTTGAACTCCCCATATTATATTATTATTTTTTTCCCTGTATAATTAATTGCATTAAAAATACATTTAATTAGTTTAATTGTTTATGTCATTTTCCAAATGTGTTCATAGTTGCCGCAGCGTATCACTTGGCGACTTACCTTTCAGATGAGATCATCTGTAATTATTCCTTACCTTGGCAATTATCTTTCGGGACAAATACCTTTTTATTATTATTATTTCGAAAAATTTAATAACGCTCGATATTTTATTAAATTAAATTACTATTATTTTATTAAGAAAAAATGTACATATATCCCTTCAAACTATGTTCGAAATTTCAGAAATACACTTATGCTGTACTAAGATCCTATTACCCTCCTGAACTTATTTTATAAATAATTTTATATCACTTTTGGGCCTACATGACACTAGTTTGGAAAAAAAAAATCAACCAGCATTAGGCCCACAATATAGTGTCACGTAGGCCGAAAATGAGTGAAAATTATTAATAAAATAAGTTCAGGGCTAATAATATCTTAGTATTGTATAAGTGTATCAATGAGATTTCAGGCATAGGTTGAAGGGTACTTGTGCATTATTTATTTGATAATATTTGATTGTTACGCTATGTTTATGAAAGAAAACTAATAGTAATTGGAATTTGTATTATTTAACTTATACCATAATGAGCTCGTTTTGATCACATGAGATCCAAATAATTAAGGCATATTAGAAATGAAGAAAAGAGGAGGAAAAATATATAGGAGTATACCAGTTTATTTTATTATATATATATATATATATATATATATATATTTAACACACTAAAATGTATTTTCGCTGAAGTCAGATTATTTAATTTTTCGAATAATTATCAATGCCATTTAAGATTAAAGTTGCTCTAATAATTATCAATGCCATTTAAGATTGTTGATTGGATTTTTAGTTATGCCACAAAGTATGGGAGTAATCCACGTCGGAGAGTAGACTAAATTTAGAATCGCGTATTGTATGATTTATTTCTTGGAGACGGAGAGAATGAAACTTTTAATAAAGAATTTTCTATTTTCATAATTAATTGAAACGTGAAAACCCAACCAAACTATTCTATCAAAATCTATATGGATGAGTAGATATCTTTTCAAGTGCAAATAAGATATAAATATTAACCATGCAGTAATTAACACTAGATCTTTTCAGTGTAAGTAATCACAAAATAAATTAAAATCGTCATATTTTAATCGAATTAGTTTACCTTTCATCATTGTATTACAAAAGTAGAAATTATATAAATTAAAGAAAGTCTATATTTCAAGACCAAACTAGACCTCCAACTTAATTAATGTCTGCATGTTCCTTGTCCAAAACGTCAATAACCTTGTTAGCTATTACACTTGCATACACTGTACAACCTTCACAAATCTGCATAAAATTGTCAAATAATATTTAATTTACACACATATATATATGATAAAATCAGAAGTATTTGACATCATGAAGCGAAAAATATATATTACTCCCTCCGTTTCAATTGGTTAATCTATTGTACTTTTCTTTTAATCCGTTTCAAAAAGTACCGATCCATATCCCTTTTTGACAACTCTATATTTTAGTCCCCCCACGTGACATATTTAAAATCACTCTTGATGGATTATACATATCTTTAGTTTTCGATTAAACTCTGTGTCGGATCAATATCAGAGACAAACAAACTGAAACAGAAGGAGAAGGATTAATGTAAATAGTGTAGAGAAAGGGGGAGAATAAAGCACCTTGGAGTTTAAGAGGTAGCTATAGTGATCTCCAATCAATCCACCAGCAACATGTTGGAGATCCAACTGAAGCTCATCAAGTGCTTTTGATACCAATAGAAGGCAATTCACTCCCTTGAGCATTTGCTTATGTTGGACAAATTTAACAATCACTTCATCTTCCATAATTCTCACATCAACTTCAGTATTACTATTCTTGGAAGATTTTATTTGATGATGCCAATTAGTAGATTTGTTCATCATCACTTGTTGATCATCCTGATTATCTTCCATGATCACTGCACCATATTCTTCTACCATTGATCTTCGCCTTTTGATTCTCTCTTTCTTTATATCTACTTGAACTTTTAACTCATTTACTCTCATTTTTAGCTCATCGATGTAGCCAATAGCATCCGCGATAATTGTTGCTCTATTGTTCTGCTATTCACAAAATTAAATTATGTTAATACTTATTCGGAAACAGTTTCTCTACCTCTCTAGACCCCAGCGCGTTGTGGGACTATATTGAGTATGTTGTTTTAATCCCTACACAAGTTAACCCTTTTTTTAAATCCAAAATTTTGTTTGAACAACAATTGATGCTCCTTCATTCTTGAACTTCCAAAATCATGTAGATTCATTGCATAGCAAAACTTAAAGATCATATATTCCCTAATCAAACAAGCTCATTTTCTTTTGATTCTACAATATATAAGCATACAAAATTCACAAAAAAATGAAATTTACCAAAAGAAGGCTTTCGTGCTAAGAGGCTCATAGGTACTACAACAACAACAAACACAGTGAAATAGTGAAATCCCACAAAGTGAGGTCTGGAAAGGGCATAGTGTATGCGAACTTTTGTTTTCGACAGACTCTCTGCTCTCATTGGTACAACTTGTTGTTATATTTACTTAGGGACATGTTTTCAACAAAACTAAACATGAAATATTTAAGGACTATTAAAAACTTACATACCTTTGAGGGATTTGGGATTAAAGTCCTCAATGCTTGAAACTTGTCACTAAAATGAACTCTCCTTTGTTTCTCAGAAGCATGATGTTTGATATCTTTACCTAATATCCTCTTCTTAATAGCTGCAGAATTAATCATCATATCTCCAGTTAACTCATGAAAACTCCCATCATGGTACAAATTACCTGTTACCTCTTCCTGATCATGACCAAGGCTAAACAAAGAACCCGTCCCGGAGCTTCCTAACCCATAGGAGGACCCATGTGGAGAAAGGTGAAACAACTCTTTGAATAAACTAGATTGTGGGGTACAAAGATTTAGAGGCATATTCATTTGTGGGGGTTCATAAAAAAGATTAGTTGAAGTTGAAGCTAATTCTGTTCTTTGATGAAAACCCCCCAAAAGGCCTAATGATGGATTAGAAATGGGGTAGCTAAGTTGTTGATTGTTGTAAGGATTAAAACTAATTTCTTCCCAATTTGGATGAAACCTTGTGTTGTTAGAGTCATGCCCAAATTCTAATTGCATATTCAAGTTGTTTTCACTAGAATGAAACTGTTGCTGCTGCTGCTGCAGCTCCACGAATCCAGATGCTGCAATATGATTTTGAACAAAACTTTTCTCATCTTCCTGATCAGAAGTTGGATGAAAAGACAAACTTTGTGATGCATACATTCTGATGAAATATTGTTGTTCACTACATACACCAGTAGTTATAGTATTTCTGGTTGTTGAAAAAAAGTGAAAAATAGCAGAAAACTCAAGTTTGAAAAGAAGAATGGAGCAGTTGTATAGGAGAAGAAAAGTTCAAAAAAAAAAGGAAGAAGAAATGAGTAAAGTAGTGAGAGGTATAGCCTTTATAAGGTAAAAGAAAGTGAAAAAGGACAGTAATGGCTTTTCTTGTGTTTGGGACAAAGTTTGTTACTGAGATTCCAAATATTAGAGTGGGGTCTCTGATCATCTCCGTACTCCAGTAGTTTCTGTTTCTGCAACTTGATTTGCAGTCAGTACTACAACAACAACGACGACAACAATAGCCCCGTATAGTCTCAAAAGCGGAGTTTAAAAAAATAAAATATACACAAATTTTATTATTATTATCTCGAAAGAGGTTGAGATATTGATTTATTTGCTGTAAAAATTGTGAAGGAAAAAAAATAGAGATCACCATCGTTTTCTGTGTCCAGTTACAGTTCAGTACATATTGCTTTGATCTTTTGCTATGTATGTATAGTTGGTCCTGGCAACATTGATAATTACATCTAAAATTATCTCAGTCTTTTTTTTTATTCGTTCTGATTCTAATAATTGTAAAAAGGGGTTATAGTATGTAGTTATGTACATTATGACATTGTACATTGTTGCACTAATAAAGCTTTGCCTGTTAGTCAACGTGGTTACGGCGTAATAGTAAGATTATTTCACACTAAATGAGAGGTCTCAGTTTAAGTTTTTGAATATGAAGAAAATCTTGTTGGAAAACGTCACTCTCGAATGAGTCTTGCAGTGCGTAATTCAAATTAAATCAAAGGTTCAATGTAAATTCGAACACCACAAGCAAAAACTTTTGCTTGAATAGCTAGGTTATAATATAAAGTCCTTTGTTTCTGTATCTTCAGAGAAGTGGGGTTGTCTATAACCACCACAACTTACAGGTAATGCCAAATATGTAGTAGCTTCGTATAATTTTTTTAGTTTGATTTTTTATTTGATACGATATTAAATAAATAAGGAAATTTTTTTTTATATTAAACTAAAAATATGTAGTATGTAACAAAACGTTTTTCAATTATGTAATATTGAATCTACTATATAAAAAGTTAAAATTAAATAGTTTTAAAATAACTAAAGGAAATGTGCTTTATTTAAATAAATTGAAAAAGAAAGTAAGATAAATAAATTGAATGGAAAAGTATTTTTGAAATAAAAATGTTCTTTTTTTTCTTTATTAATAATTTCGTGATGTTTGGAACGGTATATTGTTTCTATCCTATTCTTTTTAACATAATTGAGCTTGGACCAATTCAAACATGGTTGAAGCCTTGAATTGTAGTGCCAAATAGAAAAACCCTAATGATAACAATTGTAGACTAACTAACATGGTGAGTTATGATACAGTGTTTCACTTTTAATCAGATGTCTTGGATTTAAACTATAGATATATAAAAAAATTCTTTTGAAAGTATCATCGTATTTAAATTTAATCGAATTTCAATATAGACTTAAAACACCAAAAAAAACCATTTGTAAACTAGCAAGAAACTAACATATAGACAAGGCCCACTAAATAGGAAGGTGCACATTTGTGTTTTTCCAAAACAGTGTAACTGCATATATTTATTATATAGATAAACACAGATCTTCTGCAGCACAATTTTTATTGGGAAGCTGCACCCTACAAGCATCTCTTATTTGTACCCTTGTTCATCTCAAATTGGCAATGGTCTTCATCAAACATTTTGACTAACTATTTTTTTTTGCTTAATAACATCGACAATCTCTCAAATTTGTAAATAAATTATATTTACGTACTCGAAACTAGCTGATCACCTGAATACATAATAAAATATTGTTATTAAACAGTTGAAATTTTGAATAAACTTTTAGGTATGATCTTGTATAATCATAGTTAATTATTTAACTGAAATATGTTACCTCCTTCAATTATCAGCATTATCCTCAATTTAAACATTTTCATACTTGTACGACTTGTTGAGACCAATTTGCATAATTATAGGCAATCATATTTTAATTAGTTAACTTATTTATGTAATGAGTATATTGGAGAACTCACACAAAAACATATATTAAAATTTTGAACCTAAAATATCTAATAAATTTTTTATTATATATTTTAGATATTCAAATTAAATTACTCAGAATTTTAGAGGCTATTCATATATTAAGCCTTTTTATTTTATTCAACCACATCTTCCATTATCAGTATGATAAACATATCGTTGTTGTTAACTTTGCCAAAAGAATTTTTATAGTTTCAGATAATTACATGTTATTAATTACATAATTGTCTTTCAACTCTAAAATGTTAAGTTATGATATATTAAAATAATCGATATAAATTATAGTGAAATAGTGATATTATTTCATTCTTAATTTAAGAGCGTTATCTTTCTTTGCGTGACTTGAACTCGAATTCCTCTGTAAATTTTAAACGCCAAAATAGAAAATAAAAAGAATTATACGATAATTTCATTCTAGATATAATACTGAAAGTGTAAGAAGTCTATTTTTCTGTTTACAGTAACTAGATAGATTAATTAATACTATGTTGGCGAAGCATATATATTCCTTATTAGAAATTAAAGATGTCAAATTAAATAAAACTTTGAGTAAATTAGCCAATCCTGTGTTCAATTCCATGGATTTCAACAAAGTTATTACTCCTAAATTATTAAATTAATCACTATCATCCACTCTGGCTGCTTAAACCTTCTAGAAATTAATCTGCAATAAACATACCAAAGAAATATGAGGTCACTTGCACAAAATAAAGATATATAAAACATGAAACAAACAAAAAAATTTGAATAATTAAATTATAAATATTCTATTTTATTTGTGATATATAAATCAAGCTATACTATTTATTTTGTACAACAACAAGTAGTCAGCAATTGAGAGGAAAAAAAAAAGTTGAGATTTTTTTTTTTTTGGTAAAAGTGGACAAAAGAAGCCTTCTTACACTTTTTAACCAAATTCATATTTAAAAACAAAAATAATCAAAATGCATATACTTCTAACTGCTTGTCTGGGTGTACTTCAGAAAACATGCCCAAATTTAGAAACTGAAAGCTCATAACAATTTTATTTGACTCTTTTTTTAGATATTTTCTACATATTCTTCATTATTACATGGCCCCCACTACAATAAACTCTTGAAACTGATAGAAGAAAATGAAACATTCATAATTTCCCTTTTGATGAAGCTCAAATAATATATTTCATCTATAACCATGTAATAATTGCAACTTTATATTTATGAAATATGATGAAGAAAAGAGAGTTAAGGACAGTTTTGTCAGTCTTTCTCGTAAGAAGATGATTCTTTACACAGGAGTCCTATCAAACACAATAATAATAAATTTAATATAATTTCATAAATTAAATTTGAACAATAACAATATATCCAATGTAATTTCATAAATCAAATTTAAACAGTGTAATATATACATAATTTTATTCCTAGTAAAAATAAAAATATTATTTTTAAAAACATTCATATTGTATATAAAATATCAGGATAGAGAGATCAAAAACACAAAATATAAGTATGCCAAGAGTTATTTGATGGTCTAATCCCCTTATGTTCATTGTATTTTGTTTTACTCCCTAATATAAACAACAACTAACAACATACCCCGTAAAATATTAGAAATAGGGTCTTGGGAGGATGGTGTGTATGCAATTTCACTCCTACCTTATGAGGGTAGAAAAGTTATTTTCGAAAACTCTCGGCTCAAATAAAACACAACAAAACAAGAAGGAAAATAGAATACAAAAGTAGCACTAACAAATAATACGATAACAGGATTGAAGAAAGATTACCATAAATGAAAGAGCTGAAAACATAATTAATAGCTGTTAGTTGGTGCAATAGCTGCATACTGTATGTCCACCACCTCAATAAGCTTCTTGGCTATTGCACTTGCATAAACAGTTGATCCTTCAGAAATCTGCATATATATAAATAAGTTTGAGGATTAGACGAAAAAAAATTCAAATAAAATCGAATCGAATCAAATGAAACCAACCTTTGAGTTAAACAAGAAGCTATAGTAATCACCAATAAGTCCACCAGCAACATGGTGAAGATCCAATTGAAGGTCATCAAGAACTTTAGATGCAGAGAAAAGACAATTAATCCTCTTTTGCTGAACAAGTTTGACAGTAACTTCATCGTCGACAATCCGAACATCAACTTCAGTATTCTTAGACCTTCTCTGAAGCCATGAACTCCTTAATGAATTCCCATTGTATGATTGTTCCACTTCATCCATTATTTGCTTTGCATCACTACCATCCATGGAAATAGTAGTACCACCTTCTGTCTTTTGCCTCTTAATCCTATCTTTATTGCATCTCTTCTTCTCAGCCATAAGTTTTAACTCATTCACTCCCCTTTTCAACTCATTGATGTAATCAATTGCATCCTTCACTATTGATGCTCTATCATTCTATCAACACCAAAAAAAAAAAAAACAAGAGTATCGAATCGATAATTAGTCCATCATATATTAAACAGAAACAAATTAAAGAGTTGAGAATACCTTGCTTGGATTTGGAACCATACTCCTCAAAGCTTTATACTTGTCATTTAAATGCACCCTCCTCTGCCTCTCAGTAGCAAAATGTTTAGTCTCTTTTATACCATCTCTGTTTTTGGCTATATCATTCATACCACCAGAAAACTCAAAAATCCCATTCTGAAAAGGTCTTGTTTCTCCATTTTCTTGGTATAAACCTTGATCTGTTTCCTCCAATCCATTAAAGAAAGAGGTATTGTTGTTGCTTCTCAAGTTTCTCAAACCATAGCCATGTGGAAAAGAGTGGAACAATTCTCTTAGTAAAGGGGGTTGTGGGGGTAGATTCAATGGGAGTAGTAAAGAAGAAGGATCACATATTGCACTTGAAGTTGACGCACCGCCGCCATCAATGTCACCAATAAGGCCTAATGAAGTTAACAAATTTGGGGATTTTTGAGGAAGCAAAGATGATTGCGTGCATCTTGGTAATGGAAACATATTGAGAAGATCAGGGGTTGTTAAATATGGAGTTTCAGATATCGGATTCGAGAAATCTTGTTGATGAAAGTTGTTGTTGCTGTTACCATTATCATTGTGTTGTTGATTTTGGTATGGAGGAAAATTCATTTCTCCCCAATTCGCTTGATCACAAGATAACCCTTCGTTAACAATATTATTGTTGTTGTTATGAGTATTATTATTATTATTATTATTATAACATTGTTCCATTTCAAGATTCAATTGATGTTGAAATTCAATCTCCAACGCGGCCGCTGCAGCAGCTACAGCTACATCTTGTTGGGAGGAATCATTGTTGTTATGATACGTATGCTCTTGTATGACAAAAACATCTTCTGTTAGTCCTTCATGCTGCACATGATGAGTAGCAGGATCATAACAAACACTTTCTTCAACATACATTTTTTTGTTCTTCTGTTCTACTTCTGCAGACCTGTGAAACAGAACAAAGGACATAAAGATACCATTTTCAAGAAATTAAACATCACTGCTCTGGCAAAAAAGAAAAAAAAAAGTAATAACTTTACCTAAACTTATGGTACTAATAAAAAGTTTGCAATCAAGAAAGTAGCAGATGAATAAAACAAGGGAAGCTGTTGAACAGTTCCATAATATGGAGAAGAAAAGATGAAACAGAAAACAAAAAAGGAAGAATTTTGAGAAAAAGTATAGTAGAGAGAATGAGAGATGCTGTTGTGGGATTGGCAAATAAAGCTTGGTTGGTTGGTTTTGGTTTAGGAGACTGAAAACTAATATATATATATATAAAAGGTAGACCCTAAACTTTATTTCAAATTTTAACTTTGACCTCCAACTTTCATAATGCACAAACAGACACTTTAACTATCTAACTTTTAAATAAATAAACACATGAGTCCTACGTGGCAAAATACGTGTAGGACACCACGTAGGACAAAAAATGACATGTTGGATGACATGTAGGACATGTGTGTCTATTTGTTCAATTTTGTACAAGTTTAAGTGTCTACTTATGCACACCCAAAATTGAAGGGCATATATGTGATTTGAAGCCAAATTAAAGGGCATATTTATGTATTATGCCTATATATAAAGTTGTAACTTTGTACCATTTAGTTTTTATTTTCTACTCGGTGTTTGATAGGATTGGGTATGATATGATAGATTTCGAATTTCATATCGACATTGAAAGTTTTGATATCGCGATTTCAATATTATGATATGCAATGAATTTTATAATTTTTTTTGGTATTTTGGTACAATATTTAAGAATGACAATGCGGAGAAGCGGATGCGGAAAAGTTTAAAGCTATGCAGAGCGGTCGAGGTTAAGGTTGTACCGAAAGGGTGGGATACAGGGCTGGATAAAATTTTTAGGGGTTAAGCTTTAACTTGTCCCACCCCATTGTCATTCCTAACGATACTCGATATTTGTAAGAAAAATATCATAATGTATACCACTCATATACATTATTATAATTCTAATATATATATATAAAATAGCATTAGTACAGAACTAATAGATTTTAGATATCGAAACTTTGACTATTCAATCTTGGATAAGATATCTTTTTTCGTATATTGATTAACGAAGGGTGTTAATTGTATTTTTCTTTTGATTATTTTTACGTGTGAAAGATGTAAGTATGGCATAATTAAGATGTTAATTAATAATTTGAAGTCATAATTCTCTATTATTATATAAGTATATGAAAATTGATATTAAACAGATAATGAAAATCAATTTATCGTACGGAACAAATTATACCTAATTAGTTTGGTTTGATAATATAGACCTTATTCAAAACCAAATCGTCGAACAAGACTTTTTTTTATACCATATCATATCCACCCATAATGTTTGGTATCTACCTCAACGAAATTTGAATTTACCTTAAGACTAGAAAAAACTCAATCCAAAGATAACACGCTCCCCGTTTAAAATAGTCAAAACCTGAATCTAAAATCTCTTTTTATAGCATACTTGTTGCATTATTTTTATTTATGTCAAGTTAAATAATATTTTAACTCTTATATGTATAAAACGATAATTTGTTAAATAATTTAAAGAAAATATTCGAACAAACGACATCATTATATATTATATATATATAGAGAGAGGCATAAATATGACTGTTTAAATTAGTTGGAGTGGGCAGTTTGCATGGAGGAAATTACTGATGAGTGGGTCCCTTTACCACATGTCATTAGAATGATAAACAAATTGTTACTCTCAACTAACAATATCTCCACAAATATCACCATTTGCATGAATATATATATGCATTTCCTAACATTTTTACTTCAATTTATATCCCTTGTGCATTTTGAAATCAAAGTTTGATAAAACAATAATTTGTTCATAAAAAAAGGTTAAAAATATCTTTACATTATATGAAATAAATAAAAATATCCTTTATTGTGATTTAGTCTAAAATTATCAATATTTTAATTTAGAAATGTCTTTATTATTACTTAATAGGTCAATATCTATACGTCGATATTTTGACATGTTTAGTAGCTATTAAGGCATTTTTGAATTAAATTATCAACGACAAAGGTATTTTTGAATCAATATATTAATAACAAGGGATTATTGAGCCAGATTATAAACAAATGATTTCCCCTGCCAACGTCTTCTTGATCAAGTTCATCTTAGCAAATTTTTATATGATTTGTAAGTTAATTGAATAAGAATGAATTAGATCATGATGCTCACTTAAAATATAGCGACTGCGATTTATTTTTTTTCAGTTTAAAAAGAAAAAAGAAGTTGAATTATATAGAATATTAGTTTGAATTTTCATGTCGAAAAAATTAAACTACTCAATTACTACTACCTGATAATAACGTACCTTAGTCCATTTTAAATTATCGTAGTTTTTTTTTTTAGAGTCGAGCGATACGAATTTTGACAACATTTTCTGATGTATTTTTAAATAATATTGATATGAAAAAAAATTGTAATTTATAATATTTTTTGAATATTTAAATTTTTAATTTAAAATATCAAATTAATATAATTTAATTTAAATTAATTTTTAAAAAATATAATATAACAATTAAAAATTGACGGGGAGGGTAGTGTAATGCACAAGGTACATGATAAGGACAATAGTCAATGTCATACTTCCTAGCAGAAAGTACTACTAGCATTATTTAGGTGACAAATTAAATATGTACATAGTTGGAAATTGGAAAATCAAGATTTTTAGTAATTGGAGTATTAATATATTCTATGTTTTCAAAAACAAATTTAATAAAATTTATAATTATCAAGTAACGATCAGTTCTAATCGGATTTAGTTAATTAGCTACATCTTTTATATTGAGAATAAAATTCCATTTTATTAGTCAAATTTAATTAAAAGAAGTATTTTCTCCGTTTTATATTATTTGATTTGAGTTGATTATGAAGTGTATTTTTACTAAACTAATTTTATTAGTAAAATTTTAACAAGCTAAATTTGAAAATCGACATTTTATTTAGTTATTTAATATTAAGGATAGTATAGAAAAAATATTCTCTTAATTCGTTAAAATGAATAAATAATCTAATTAAAATGTTTATTTTTGATATAATTAAAGATCAAATAAAATGAAATAAGGAAAATACTGACATCTTATAAAATATCTTTTTTTTATTGAAGGAAAAAAGTTCATATCTTATTTAAGAAAGTAAAGTAATGGATAATATGAACCCCTTAGTTAACTTTTTTTTATTAGCATTATTATTTATATCAAATATGAATCGATCACTTATATTTTCATCTAATTTATTTTCAATTCGTTTATATATAACTCGATCCACTCGTTTGTCATTCTTACCTATCATGTTTATCAATGCACTTTGAATTCTAAGTCCAGTTAGTTTATTTTCATAATATATTTGGCTTCAAAAATATAAAAATGTTACTAACATCACCAGTGTTTATCGCCGTTTAATGTGAAATCATAGAAAGTTGATGTAAAAAGTATTTAGGCTTATCTAAATTAAAATTTGAACCGTTGCCAATTTTTTCTTTGCTATAACGGACCGTCTCGACTATAAAACCGCTTACCTGCTTTATAATAATACTCCCTCTGTCCACAATTATTTATTATGTTACATTTTTCGATAGTCAATTTGACTAATTTTTAAAGTTAAATTAGATCATATTAATTTGATATTTTAAACAAAAAAAAATATTAAATATTCTAAAACTATATGAAAAGTACTATAAAATATTAGTCAAAGTTTTTATAGTTTGACTTTAAAAATAGAAATCATGACAAATAATAACGGACGGAGAGAGTATTAGTTATGGACACCTAATTTCCATTGAGCTTTTAACTGCGAAACATCGTATTGAAAAGATTGGAAATAAGATTTTTTGACGTAAATTCAAATTACAAAAAATCAATATAAATTAGAAATATATTATATATTTTTATTAATAAGCTATAAGATAATTGATGAGTATTTGATTTTGTTACCCATATTGTAACAAGAATAGCTTCACAATAGGGAACAGCCAAAAATAAAGTGTTTCTAGTAATGTTGTTAGCTGTAGATGCTCATTCATTGACTATAATATATGCTGAAAGGTCGATCACACTTTTCTTGTGACTCCCAACTTGGATCATGCAATACTAAGTATACATACTATTTTATTTTATTTTAATAAAATCAGAATGAAATTATCGGAAACGTCTTTTTTATCCTCTAGAAAAGTAATACAGTCTGCGTAAAACATGTTCTTCATAAACTTCACTTGTAGAATTACGTTGAATATATTCTTATTATTTTGGTGGATGAAATTATTAGTAATTATTTTTCTAATTAGGTAATTCCAAAAATATACCTTAGTAGTTGTCACTAATTTATACGTCCAGTATTTTGTTACACTGCATAATCATTAGTACTAATTATCTATTGCTGCAGGTTAATGGCTCACCTAGTCACCTATACTAGTTAACTTATTCATCTACATAATCATATAGAAACAAGCATTTGTAAATTCACTTGAGTCTTTATTACGATCTTTCACGTGTGAGTCTGATTCTTTTCAATAGTTAAGCTTGTGATTCTTTTCATGAGTTGCAGAGGGATTTGAAAGAGCTATTAACGCGCAAAAGTAAACTTTTAATTATGTAATCATATTATGTCTCAACACGTGCAGGTTCTGATCTTTTTTTTTTTCTATAGGCCAGGAGAAATTGTTTTTTTTTTTTCATAATGGATGAAAAATAAGAATTTGACACACCTCTCAATTGAGTTGGTTCGAAACTTTTCTATTATAGAATTTAGAATTAGACAAGGAAAGAAATTAATCCACCAATGTAGAAGAAAATTAAACTCTTTTCCTACTTAAATTACAAGTAATGTTTGAGAAGTCCTCTCTAACTTAAGTACTTCCACAGTTTGAATTTGTTTTTCATATTTTGACTTGACACAGATTTCAAGAAAATAAAAAAGATTTTTTTGATTTTTATTGTCATGTCAAATGTATCAAACATTAAATCTTGCGATCAAACATGTCATATGAAAAATTAAAACAAAAAAATAGTTAAAAAGGGAAAGAGTCATTTTCTTGAAACGGACTAAAAAGAAAGGAAGAGTAACAAATTGAGTTTTACCAAACCCGTAGCTAACAGAAATCAGAAGATATATATTCTGTTGTTTCAAGAAGCTAACTGAGATGCTTCCCTATACGTCACAGTGCTCTACCACCTAAGAACTCTGCTTTAACTGCATGTTTCCCTTGTACGCCAATTATTGTCTTTTCGATTGATGATGAAGAAAGAGAATTCTAGGTTCAGTTCTCCACCTTAACGACAAATATTGGATCGATCAAATTCTATTGTTTCACAAGAATTTAGGTCCAACACAACTCGAACATCTCAGGATTGAGTATAATATTCCTGTCTTTGCTTCACAAGGAATTTTGTGGGCAGGCAACCAACACAAGAGCCTCTTAAGCCATTTGAGGCCAAGCTTGCAGTTATGAGTACCCAGATCATTGAATCTTTCGTATTTTAGTCATAAACTAAGATTTATATATTCTTGAATACATCAACGCCATCAAATTCAGAATAGCATTACTAATAACTTACGTTAGATTTAGTCATCGCTAAGATGTAGTCCTTTGCAGATAAGACAAGGTAACTGGGAAGTGTTTGTTACCTTTGCTGAGGCTTGAACTTTTGTTCCCTGCGTTGTAACTCTAGTTCTTCGACTACTTGGTCATCTCCTTGAGGGCTAAGCAAGATCTCATGCCTTTTAACTGGCAATTCTGGACTTCAAATCATAATGCTTAAAAGGTAAAAAGCAACTAGTTAATGATAAATCTAATGGCAAGCTGTAATGTTTGTTGTGCAAACTGCAAAATGCAAAATGCAAGAATCTTAACGATAATCACACAGATGATATCACAAAAGTTTCGTGTAACGAATTGTCCATGAATCATGAGCTATGTAAATACTCTATTATTCTAAAAAATTGTTACAAAATGTACAAAGGAATCGTCTGAAAGCTGTTTGAAGTGGCTAAGCTTCTAAATAACGTGCAATATAAGTCAAAGATCAACTTGACAAATCTCATTGAGGCTACCTCTTTCACTACACAGAGCATTTACGTGGGCTTTGTTCATATTAAAGAGGCAAGCTTAGTAAAACAGAGTAGCAACGTATAGAAAAGCAGTTATTGAACTAGTCTCCTATCAAACTGACCATTCAACTAAAGGGAATAATTGCTGTTCCTTTGCACCATTCAAATTATGCAAGACTCACTTCCGTCTGCTTCTGTGCCAATTAGATGAAATGTCAATTGCTCAACCATCGCATATATATCTTTACTTCGTGGATGGGCTTTGTCGCATCTCCTAAATTCAGAAACAACACCATCAAGTTCAATGGAGCTACATCCAGGGACTTTCTTTATTTTCTGTCTCTTCATTGCCTTTCTTACTTCTAAAGCATCTTTCCATTTACTGACTGAAGCATATGTGTTTGACATCAGTGTGTATGTACCATCTTTTTCGGACTCCATATTGACAAGTATTTCAGTCACATGCTCAGCGAGTTCAACTTTTCCTTGTATCCTACATGCTGCTAATATCGATCCCCAAATAGAAGCATCAGGTTCAATTGGCATGTGTTTCACGAACTCCATTGCTTCATCTATCAACCCTGCACGACCCAACAGATCAACCATACAGCCATAATGCTCTATTCGAGGTTTTAATTTGTGCACTCTCCACATATCTGTAAAGAAATTGTGACCCTCTTCCACCAGTCCTCCATGACTGCAAGCTGTGAGAACACCTACAAACGTGACTTCATTTGGTTTTATGCCAATATCAAGCATTTCATAGAAAAACTTAAGTGCCATCCGTGCCTTTCCATGTGTGGCCAAACCAACTATGACGGATGTGTATGAATAAACATCTTTAGTAGCCATACTTCCAAAAACTCTAAGGGCATCGTCCATGCTTCCACACTTGGCATACAAATCTACAAGAGCATTGCCCACAAACCCCGCTAATTGTATCCGATTTCTATCTATATATCTGTGCACCCATTTCCCAACTTCTAGCGCCCCTAAACTGCTACAACAGTTCAGAACACCAACTAAAGTATTCTCATCAGGCTTTACTCCTTGATCCTGCATTTCAATAAATGCACTCAATGCCTGTTTAAACTCCCTTCTTTGAGCCAATCCAGATATTACTGTATTCCAAGAGATCACATTTCTCATCGGCATCTCTCTGAAAACATCAAGAGCAACATCCCGTTCACCACATTTTAAGTACATATCGACCAATGCATTCCCAAGAAACACATCAAAATTCAACTTATGACTCTGCACGTATTTGTGTAACTTCTTTCCCAATCTCGAATCCCCTAATTTCGCACACGCAGATATCACAACAACCATCATCCTCTCGTCAGCCCTTAACCCGTCATCTACCATCTCAAAGAACAAATCCACTCCTTCCTTCCAATAACCATTGTCCACATATCCCTGAATCAAAATAGTCCAAGATACCAAGTCTCTCACAGGACTTCTATCAAACACCTTCCTTACACTCCCTACACACCCACAAACACCATACAATCGCATCAAATTGTTCACTACATACAAATCCAACGCAAACCCATTTTTTATCACATGGGCATGAACCAACCTGCCATATCTCAGCTCACGTAACTCTACACACGCCTTTATCACAAGAGGGTACGTGTATTTATCCAAATCTAAACCTTTACACATCATTTCAACATACATTACAAAACCAAGTAAAGCATTTTCCTTACATTTAGTGCTTAAAACACATCTCATTATAGAATTATAAACATCGATATCTGGTTCATATATTTGAGTGAAAAGAGAGTGGATATAGCTCATATCCTTAGAGGGTATTGAAGAAGAACATAAAAATATGATTTTGGCGTAAAGGGGTTGTTGGGTGTGCTGTAGGGAGCTAGTTTTGGTGATCAAATAATTGAATTTTTTGATTGATTTGCTGGTATGGAGTTTAGGAAATACAGAAGGGTCTTGAGAATTTACAGTGCAACCAAAAATTAAGGCCATGGTTGGTAGAACATTTGATTTCTTGTTCAGAAACACACAGAAAAAATAATATCGATCTTGAGCTCTTGCTCCATTAATTGAAACTGTTTACTGCAATTTGGGACTTGAAAGATGAATCAGAACGGACTTTGGCGGGAAGAATTGTCGAACAGATTTTTACATGATCAATGGAAGAGCGTATTGATTGGGCATAATATTTTGGTCCAACCAAACTTGTCATATCCACATGAAAAAATCCACAAAATAACCATTTTTCAAACGGGCTAATTAGTCCGCTCAAGCTCAGTTAGTTTGGAAGGTGGTTCATCCACATGGTTGATTAATCCCCTTCAATGTCTTTTGAATCGAACGGATCAATCTCCGAGCATGTCGAATAGGAATTGCTTGAGTCGATCATGACACATAAAATTTGCCTAGTGTAGTTTTCATCTTAGTAGAGAATTTACCCGATGCTCGTCCAAAAGATTATCGCAGAGTTTTCATAAACAAATTGGCTAACCAAAATTGAATGTCATAAAGTTTTGAAAACAAAGAAAATGCTAAATAACATGACTATCTTTCGATAACCAGAGTGGTTAGTGAGCGTTATTTCTAATTTATTTATGAGTTGTGAGCGGGAGGATAGTTTTGGGGTGATGTCCTAATAAACGATGGATGGATGATCCATCAGTATGAATTAAGTCTCCAAGCTTAAAAACAGGCCTTTTCCAGATATTTAAAGACCGTAGCATCTAATACGAAAAATAAACCATTTTAACAACAGGAAACAGTTGAGCCCAGTATCAACCAAAGCAAAAGTACTGACTTTGGGATGCACATAAAACACATCTGTATCACCTTGACAGGCCAGAAAAGAAGAAATCACTACAAGTACTAATAATTCTCAGGTATCAACTTTTTGTTTTATCATATCTAAACATCTCTAGGAACAAGGAAATGTCGTTCTCCGTCTCTGTAATTCAGCTTGTATTTAGGGGTAGAAAATTGTATGTCATTCAGAAGCACGCTGGCATCCTCGTGTGAATAGTCTCTGGCAAAATAATGTCCTAGATCATCTACTCTAAAACCATATACTACAGGACTAAAATTTACAGGATGCTGAAGCCACTTTAGAGATGATTAGAGAGTCATGTTGCACAAGAGAAATCTTCATCAAAAACTTGAAGTTGCTAGTACTAAAATCAAACAAGAGCTGCTTCAAACCTGTTTGAACATGTCAGTATTTTGAAGTCAAGGAGAGGTTGCAACTCATAGGAAAATAAATCATGTATGTACATGTACCCCTGAAAAGTTTATTATTGCCGTTTCGTTAGAGTTGTACACAAGCAAAGTGCTATTACTTGTGAAGAAATAGGATGACAATGAGTTTTCAATGAGTTTATAAGAAACTTGAGACTCCCCATCTGTTATTGGAATTTCAAGTGTAGCTAGTTATCTACAAGTAGTTGATCATCTGACCAATATTCTTCAAACATGCTAAATTTTGTTCATTATACACTTTAAAGTTCAACTTATGCAAACACCATGAGAAAAATGTAGGAACTTTCAAAATGGACAATTTTATGTGATTGCCACCGGACCACCCCTAGTTTCAAAGAGAAGTAGCCTCAAGCCTCCCACAATAACAGCTTGCCTGAACAAAATAATGATAAATGATTATAGCAACCACCAAGTGTGAACAAAACAGACTACTTGATCAAGAGAGCAGCAAACAAAAGTTTTGTGTAGCTGATCCATCTTTACAGTTCACAAAAGTTCATGTTCAAAGCAGCTGATAGTTACTAATTAATATTGAGAACAACTTTGAAGTTTGTTCACTCCTTGTTTCCTCTCTCTACCTTCAGCTAAACCACTAATGAGATCTGTCAAGGAAATTTTAGAAAATGGATTATCTTGTTTTTAGTAGGCTACCAGCTAAATAGAAAATTGAGTCCTGTCTTCAAGTATGTACTTTAGAATTCTATGAGTTATTTATCTTGTTCTCTTTCATCAGAATGATGTTTGTTTATTCTCATTTTATGACTTGAATGTTAGAAAGAACCACTGTGCAAGAAAGAAAAACTAACAAACTTCAAGTTCAGATGAATGAAACAGTATGCTTTATATATTGCATATTATATGCATAAAGGGAAATAAGAGCATGTGAAAGATGTGTCAACAGCATTTGCACTCACAAGATGTCCAGGCTTATTGATAAACTTGAAAGTGCTATGGAATTTCGCCTTTTCGTAAAACGGAAAGAGAGTATTCAGCAGCATCAATAAGATCTTGAATGTTATGTAGAGATTGCTCCTCGGAACCCAACATGAACATGGCACGGACCTCAGCTTTCTTTTGAAGTCTAACTGCTAAGCTAAATGGCAAAGCAGGTGAATTAAGGCTCCTCAAGATTTGCCTATACAAAGACAGAACTCTTCCTCTATTCTTTGCCAAGTCATCTGCTGTAGCCCATATCAAGCCTCCTCTCATTTCTCTGTGGCACACCTCGAGTTTAAGAATAAAGAAAAGGTTAAATATGTGCGACAATATGGTAACTCCCAAGGGTTCTACCATTCTAATTATTTTGGAGCCGCCTGGTCACATAATTCATTTTACTTTTTGTTAAATGGGTGATAAAAATATAGGAAAAGAATAAGACAACCCCTTAAAATGAATCCTAAAGTCAACTAACTTGAGATTCTTAGTTGAGGACGTTAATTTAACCCTAGGAGAAGGTTTTGGCATCCTTGAGTTTCGTGTAAAACCCCATTACCTGACTAATCTAATTATTTCACTAAGTCTAGTTACGGAATATAAACAGAAACAAGAAAAAAGTAGCAGATGAATCACTTAAATAAGAAAAACTAAAAAGTATTACAAACCTGAATGAATTACATCACTGCGGAAAAACAATTACCAATTGAACAAAATTGAAGCTCTCTTGATCTAATCATCACCAGTTGTACTACAAGAAATTGGTTAACATGGCAAAGGATAACTTTAACACTATGAACATCCTGTTTTTTCGTATTGCATACCATAACCCATAAAGTAAAATCTAAGAATAGGTTGGCCAAACCTGCCAATTTGAAAATCTAACCACAAGTTCTAAAACTTTTAGTTTCCCCATCTTACAACCCTCAAATGAACTGATAATTCCTGAATCTAATTTCAAAACCAACTAGAATGTCTTTGGACACATTGCTGTTCCACTATTTACAAAAATAACAAAAAGAAATCTCTTTCTCTAAAGTTATCTTTTTTATTTTGTACTTGATTCTACTTCTAAAACTATAATTTATTAGATTTAATTTTTCAAGAAGGAATAACCAAATAAACTGGAAGCAGACAAACATAAACTAATGCAATGCATTCAAACCTTCTTTCAATTTATTTATCTTTTGGATGATAGAAAGAGTGTTATCTTTTCTTGCAATAAACTGTTCTGTTGAGCCAAGGGTCTATCAGAAACAACCTCTGTTACCCATAAAGGTAGATGTAAGGTCTACGTACGTCCTACCTTCCATGGACCCCACTTGTCAGATTATAATGGGTATGTATTTGTTGTTTGTTGATGACAGAAAGAGTAAATTTATTCCCTTGCACAATCTGCCAGCTGGTGGAACAACTTATTACATGGTTTCATCCATAGCATCTTTACTAAAAGACAAATTTTAGAATGATTTCTTACTTTCATGCCATTAGTTGCATTATAGGAATGGAGATTCACATTCATCTGAAACAGAGTAAGCTTATGGAAACAATGTAGCCCAATATTGAGCAGAAAAATCATAGTAATTCAATTACTTCCGAAGGATGAAACAGAATGCATCATACTCTAGTTTATTTTGGAACAAAACAAAATCGAGCAAACTATTAAGAATAATATAATCATTTCCAAGGGATGAAAAAAGACAATGCAACTTGTAGTGTTTTTACCCTTCAGGGTGGCCTAGTGGTTTGAGCTTGGACTTCCATTTTGGAGGTCTCAAGTTCGAAACTCTTGCCAGCGAAAGCAAAGAGTTTGCCTTCTGGGTCGAGCTCGTCCCACCAGACTTGTCTATCCTATGTGATTTGCGAGCTATCTCCTATGTGATTTGCGAGCTATTGCATAAGAGGAAGCACCAAAAGGGAAGCGGCTGCGGGTTTCCCTTGTCGTCAAAAAGAAAAATGCAACATACCCACAATTTATAATGGTCCATTTTATTAAATCAAGTTGAAAGAGACAAATCGGCTTAGGAATTTCATCAAACAGTTTGTAGGCAGTAGTCAATGCTGATGTTAAGACAAGGAATTTCCCCAAGAATTGTAAACCCATCAAGATTAATTTGTCTATAATGCAAAACACAAAATTTGGGAACAGCTTACCGTTTTGCTTCCCGGAGAAAATTCCAACAGTAGCCGGCAATTTGGTTGAAGCTTTAGAGAGCTTACTGTAAATTGTATTTGTAAGGTAAAAAAAAAAATGAGGGAGCATTTATATTATTTGCGCGTAGGCACCCAAAAGATTTGAAAATCACACTTCATACCTATAATTTGATCGAAAAGTCTAATTATCACCCAAACTTTTGCCAAATGCATCAATGACCCCTTAAACATTATACTATTACTTCATCACTCTTCAACTTTTAATTAGAGGCTAGTCCCATCATTCACTATTTCGTTTAATTATCGATTAATATAATATATATATATATATATATATATATAAAAAATTTAATTGAGATCAGCGGACACAGTAAAACGCCCACCTAATACACATAAATTGAGGAAGATAACTATATATAATTGTGAAGAGCAACATAAGATTACATTTAGTAGCTACATTCAGGTAATATATTTCATAACAATATTATTTTTTGAGTGAATATTTAATTTTAGTTTTTTTTTTTCCAATTATGCATGCCTACTAGTGCCTTTATGTACTTCTTGACCTTTTAAAAAACATTACTTCATCCGTTAATTTTAATTGTCTTGTTTTATTTTTCAAAAGTTAATTTGAGTATTTTTTTAAAGTGAAATTAGATTCATTAATTCGTTATTGATCAAACAAAATTTAAATATACAAAAATTGTACGAAATTTACTATAAATTGCAATTTGTTGCATACTAATGTGATGAAAAAATACATCATAACATATATATATATATATATATATATATATATATATATATATATATCTTTTTGACCTTTACGAAACATTATTCCATCCGTCTATTTTAGTTATTATGTTATATTCTAAAAAGTTAATTTGAAAACTAATTTTTATAATGAAATTAGAATACATTAATTTGTTATTTATAAAATAAAAGAAATCAGATATTCAAAAGTTATAGGAAAAGTACTATAAATTGCAATTTTTTATGCAGCAATAAAATAAAAAAATATATCATAAAATATTAGTCAAAGTACTTATATATTTATCATTTGACAAAATTATAATAATTAAAAGTAAACAAAAATAATATTTTTTACTTATATACAGGTTTAATTTTCAAGAATAAAGTCAAATAAAAATTTTCAAAGGTCGACACATCAATAATTTTGTAATAGAGCATATATATATATATATATATATATATATATATATATATATATATATATATATATATATATATATAATGAAGTGCTTCTCTTAAAATTCATTAAAATACTTGAGCTTTTGATAAATTGATATCTAGCTATTGAAAATCTTATAATACCATATGAGAATGACCTCCTATGACTTTTGATATCTTAATCAATTAAATTTTGATAAACCATTTTGTATTCAAATAGAACTTAAAAATATACCTAAAATGAGAGTTTTCTAAGTTTTGATTCAATCTTATTTTTTGGTTCAGCAAACATAGTTGCACTATTATAATTGCATTTTAAATTCTCAAAGTCATTCAGTATATTTTATGCCTCTTGTATTTGCTATTTTCAACTACTAAATAAAAAATAAACTTGTTCGTTATTAATATTTTCTCTGATGTTCTTTTAGTTTTCATTGATTTTTAGATTTATTTGTTTGCTATCATATTGTTAATTGTATTTCTCTCAATTGAAGCCTAGCTTATTAGCTCCCTTTCAAGGGGCTATTGAATCACAAGCGACCTCAACAAAGAATTTTGCAATATGATGACGTCTTAAAAATCACATCCGATAAATTTATTTCAAAATAATTTTCACACACAAATGGATAAATTTTGAGCCCGTGTGCACACGGGTAACACTATTAGGGGTCGTTTGGTACAAAAATGAATAATGCAGGGATTAGTAATGTAGGGATTAGCAATACAGGGATTAGCAATGTAGGGATTATTTTTATCAAGTGTTTGGTTCATTGTTTCTTATCTAATTTTGTGTGTGGTTTAAATGTTTTTTTTTTAAAAAAAACTTTCCAAATATACCCTAGAGTTATTATGAAATTTTGTATTTCATGTAATTGAGTCAAAGTAGATAATTAACGGAGAATACTATTTTTTTATAACATTTTTAACTAGTTAGGAGAATAAAATTTTTATTGTCATGTTTACTATTTTCTCACTTAAATTATTTGAGAGTAAATAATTGTCATCTTAATAAATTAGAGTTAATAACTCAAAATGTCACACAACTATAATGATTATAGAGAAAATTTATTGAACTTCGTTTTGTATCAATAAATTTTTAAAAACTCTTTATCATAAAATAAAATAAAAATATAAAATAAATATAGAAAAATAAATTAAACTATTTTTATACTCGAGATGAGTGTGTGTGTGTATATATATATACACACTCTTGTTTTAGACTACTTGTGTAATGTTTAACGAACTTTCATTAAGAGACAATATTTTACTTATGAATTGTTCTTAAATTCATACATCAACATTAACATATTAGTCGGATTATAATATTTTATATTAATAATAAATAGATTAAGTAATTCATATTTTAGAAACAAAAAATTATATCTAAATAATAAAAGTTGTAAGCTAATTTATTTAAATAACTTTATTAGTATAAATATAAAATATAAAATATAAAATCAAAAAAATAAATTAAATATTAAAAGAATTTGAGGGGTATTTTTGTCTTTACATAGAATAGTCCATGGTATTAGAGCTAATACCTTCAAATGGAAGGTATTAGCAATACATCACATAATACCACGTAGGATGTATTAACTAATCCATGGATTAGTTATACATAGACTTACATTCCTACCAAACACAATATTAAATTATACCACATTTAATACATGAATTATTTTTTTTAATACACCCTACCAAACGCTCCATATATATAATATCAGAGGATAATAAGTAATATTACCACTTTGTTAAACGAGACCTAACTTTGTCTTGTAAAATGATAAGTGCCACGTGACTTTTTAAAAAATTGTCTATTTTCCATGCTTACTAACCATTTAAGGCAATGAATAAGCATTTTGCCGAGAAAAAAAATAATTCAAATAAAGGATCAAATTAAGACAGATACCCATCAAATATATGTATATATATATATATATATATTATTTTCTCTGATAATTTTGAGATGATAAAAAGCATCACCCACTTTATTAAAAAAAACTACTTTGTGTTTGGAAAAATATGATTCCCACGTAACATTGAAACATCACTTTCTTTCAAATGAAAATTTTATGCATGAGCCTATATCTTCATTTTGCATTATAACCATTTCTTTTAGAAAGAAAAATAGTATCCCTTAGAATTGGTTGAAACAAAATTGCATCGAAGTGGTCGAAACATAATTGCGTCAGTGGTAAAAGTGGATGAAACATAATTGCATACTATACATTAGTATTGCTACAAGCGCATGAAAAATAAGACTTATGTAAAATAAATAACAATTAAAAAAATAATAATAATAATAAAGAAATACAATTTTTCGATAAAACAATGTGGATAAATATAGCTTGTTCCCTTGATTCATCTTTCATCAGATTTTTTTACCGGCTAATAGTGGCGTATTATTCAAATTTGGATAACTTTATGAATATTTCATGAATTTGTCAAATATTCAAGATGCCTTTTTAAGAGATTATAATACTTTTCATATAGGCATAAACTAGGGTTTACGGTTAGAGTAGCCTCCAAGAAATCTAAATGGACTAGAATACTTTTTAATTCTTATAGAGTTCCAACTAGAATTGAATATGTCTTACAGAGTCCCAAAAATTTTCAAGGTATGTAGATACCTCTGCTACAAGGCTTGTCGGTGGGTAGACTTGATGAAATTTAAAGACGAAGTAAAATACTCATTCTTCCACATTTGCAGTTTTATGACTTCAGATTTGTAAAAATTTGATCTGTGAGGGAAGACGAAGGGTAGATTTGGTCTTAGAGGGCGTGCCAATTTGTTTTCACACAATTTTAAATATAAGAAAAATAAATCAACTATAAATAAAAAATCTAAAAAACTAAAATATTTTATTGATAAATCAATATGAGTACAATTCCTTGATTCTTGTCTCATAAGGTTTCTCCATGATCTGATGACCGTTAGTGTCATATTTCTCGAACTAGTATGATTTGAATTTAATCTCTTATGAGTATTTCATGAATTTGCGAAATATTCAAGACAATGTCTCTTTAAAAAATATAATATTTTTATATAGACATAAACTAGGGTTTAGAATTAGAGTAACCTTAAAAATTCAAACTGAAATCAAATACACCTTATAAAGTCCCAATTAAAATTAAACACGTGCAACTTTCCACAAACTTTTAATGTCTACCGTCACAATAAAAACGATCTTTTTTTTATAAAAAAAAAAAAAAAAAAACCTCCTCCTAGCCTATATATATTGTTGAATAATCATGGTAAAGGATATCAACACTTCTCCTCTACAATTTTCCTATAGTGTCACTACATCTTTTTATTCCCAAGTCTTAATAGAATGGGTCTTAAGTCTGTGTTGTGTGCCAAGATAGAAATAAAGGCAAACAAGGATGTGTTTTTATGATGTCTTTACAAATAAACCACAACTTGTCTCTACTATGTGCCCTTTGCATGTACAAGGTTTTGAACATCTTGATGGTGTCATTGGAAAAGTTGGATCCAAAATTTGTTGGATGTATACATTTGGTAAGTTAAATATTTAAAAGGTCAAACACATAAATAGATTCTTAAATTTGTTGGGTTTTTTTTCTCGGGTATCTCAACTATGTCATTTTTCTATTGAATCATTGAACCACTCATAATTTGTTCCTTTAAAACACTGTTGGTTGATTTTGATCGGCTTTTCTATTGTAAATGTCTTCAATTGTGTTCGAATTGTAATAATTTTGATTGGAGGAATGAAGACAAACCGTGTTAGTCTCATTTGTTTTCTAATGTTTTCAAATGACTTAAGTAAAACACAATTATTCTCGAACATTTTCATTATCAATTGGATTAATGAATTCTGGAACAACATATGTATCCTCTATCAATACCCCTCAGAAATTTAGTTCCACATCAGACAACAGTGTTTGTTTAAAAGGAACAAATTGTGGGGTTCAGTGATTCAATAGGAAAATGACGTAGTTAAGGTACCTGAGGAAAAAAAAACCCCAATAAATTTAAAAATCTGCTTATGTATTTGACCTATTTAAAAAATTCTAACAAAATACTTTTTTTATCAAAAAAAGGAGAACTGACTTTTTAGTAGGAGCAGATTTATATGAATATTTAAGTGTTACCTCAATAACTAAGATGAGATAGTGTGTGGGGTAATAAATTCAAAATTCATTAGTTTCAAATCTTAGTCCTATATTTGTTATGTCCAAGCTAGATTGTGTTTCATGTTTATTTTTCGATAAATATTTTCTAGCTTTATAGCATTCGGTTGATAAAAAAATTTTAAAAAAATATTTTTATGTAAAATATATGCTTCTTAGAAATGAGGAAAAAACACTTTCACATTTCACAATCACCAACCCACCACCACTCAATTTTTCTTAATGACTCCTTATGGTTATTTAACTCTTCTTTATTTTTGATAAGGCAGAAGGGAAAAAGAAGATCTCTAAGCAGATAATTGAAACAATAGATTATGAAAAAAAGGTGTTGACACTCAAAGAATTTGAAGGAGATGTAGTTTGATATATATGATCATTTTAAGTCAACTCTTCATATCGAAACAAAAGGCGAAATCGAATTGGTAAGCTGGACACTAGAGTATGAAAGACCAAATGAGAATGTCCCTGAACTAGTAAATTTGTTGGACTTCAATGTTGGCATGACCAAAGCTATTGATGATCGCCATGTCAAGATGAACTTATAAGTTATATGCATGTGAGAGTATGGTGAAAAAATAATCCATGTTGGTTGTGTACTTTTTATTTGGTTTTTATCCTTTGATGTTGTGTTGTGTCTTTCTCATGTAACGTTTGTGATGTGGAATAACACATGGATATGAAGTTTATATATTATTGCTTCCTTGTCTCTTTCCTAATTTATACAGTGGTTTTTTTCTTTCTTTTTTTTAAAAAAAGGATCGAATATATTCGTATATTATCATAAATAGTCTAAATACACTAATTATTTACTTTCTTCATCCGGTACTATTTGTCATGGTTTCTATTTTTAGAGTTAAACTATAAAAACTTTGACTCATCATATTAATATGCAAAAAATTTGTAATTTATAGTACTTTTCATATAGTTTTAGAATATCTAATTTTTTTTTGTTTAAAATATCGAATTAATATGATCTAATTTAACTTTAAAAATTAATCAAATTGACTTTCGAAAAGCGCAACATGACAAACAATTTCAGACCAGGCTCGGGCGACTGTTTACCAAAAACACAGATCTCCTCAAAGTCGTAAGATCATGTATGGGGGCTGACGCTTGCCCAGTGCCGGAAGGTCAAGGAAGTTGGTGACCTGATGACAGGATAGCCGGCGACCGAAGCCCCGATGAACGGTGGCCGTAACTATGACGGTCCTAAGGTAGCGAAATTCCTTGTCGAGTAAGTTCCGCCCCGCACGAAAGGCTCACATCAATTACAGAGGTTCTACCACTAAACTTGCTTATGCTCCCCTTTGATCGAGTGCTATTTCTATAAATAAAATTGAGTAGGAAAATGTTGAATTATGTTTCAAAGCAAATATACTACTTCCATTATAATTTGGCATTTAAATTTAGTCTATAAGTTAGATTTACATTTACAAGTCACATATCACAAGTACAATGGTGAATTGGAAGACGATTGGGGATGCTAGTAAGATTAACAGAGATGGAAGATAAGCTTTAACACGTAAAACATTATTTATGTCACGTGTTACTATTTATGTGTTTTTTTGTTTAACTTAATAGAAATTTAAGTATCTATTTGTACACATTTAAAGTTGGAAAACAATATTAAAAAATGCATTTATATAACATGCCTATATATATATATATTTTTAAGACAAATATCATTAAATAACGAGCTTAGTGAAAATTTTATAAATTAAACCTGGCAAAGATTATAAATCCTTGACTCAACTTTAAGCAAGATTATTGCCTAAAGATAATTTACAACGAAAGAAAAAAAAAAAAAAACTTAACAAGAAAGAGCCATGGATTGAGAGTTTGAAATAAAAAATTTTGTTCGATAGGGATGTTCCTCGTTTGGTTTGGATCCCTTATTAAAATTAAAATCAAAACCAAACAAATTTAGTCAGTTTTTAAATTTCTAAAATCAAACCAAATCAAATAAAAAAATAACCGTTGGTTTGATTCAGATTTTTTGTTTTTTCAATTTGAAAATAATAAATTAAATAGTTGAGAGTATACGCATCTCGATAGATACAGACATACTTAATACATGAATAATCCACAAGAAAGTTATTATGTATTCAATTAAGCAATATTAGATTTATTATTACATGAATAATATTATTCAATTAAGAAAGTATGACTATCTAATGTGATATAGGGTAGGCAAAGATTTGAGAACAAGATTTTGATGGACTTGGTCTTAGGGTTTTAATATTCGGGCCAAAATTTAAGTGTTAGGCTTGAGAAAATGGTAAAGTTAAGACTTCAGTTAATTAAAATTTAACAAAATATTTATCTTTTATTTATAATTAATCATAAAATTTATATATATAACTTCTCGATTTGAATTGGTTGTTTTTGCGTTTTTTTCAGTAAAACAAAAACCAAACAAAAAAGTATCGATTTTCAAAATTTAAAATCCAACCTAACCAAACCATACCAACTATCGATTTTTTAATCGATTTGGTTCGAATTAAGGTTCGATTTAATTTTTGTAACCATGAACAACCCTATAGATGACTATCAATAGACAAGTTCAAAGGCAATGAAAACTAAAAATAATTCAAAAGTACAATTAATAATTCACATCAAATTTGGGTAGGCGGTTAAATATTCTATCTTTCATGGCTTGCTTTCAGAAATTGATCATTATATTATCAATGAATGTGGTGTAGAGGATGAGACTCCTCCTCCTCTTCTAATTAAAATTTTTGAATTCGAATCCTAAGTAGTGTATACATAACGCTAATCTGAATTAATCGAGTGCCTATGTAAATAATATCAAGCACATCGAATGAAAAAAAAAAACAATAAAGAAAGCAATCATTGTTTCTATCAAAATTATTTACTTTAAATTAGGAATTATCCACGTAGAAACATTTTTTTTTTTATAAAACTGTTTATTTAAGAGAAATATAAAAATATATTTTTCTTTTAAAAAAAAGGTTATAATATTTGAGAGCCGTTCCTAAAATATAGGAGACTTTCGTTGAGTTTTTGGAGTGTTTATCTCCAAATGAAACTCTAATTAACAGAATCTCCAAATATTATGTTTTGAACGTTTGAATATTGAACACTTAAACAACTGCTAAACAAAAAGTCATACCTTAATTACTTGAACACTAATTCTTTCTAATTTCTCATTTATAAAAATTTACATTTTCAAGAAGAAACAAAAAATATATTCAGGTATGTTTTGTTGTTATGCTCCTAATTTTCACAATCCCAAAAGCTTAAACATATTTATAAGATTTCATCAATTTTATGCACTCATTAGGGTGATTATTGATGAAATTTGTATATACATTATATTTTTCAATCTGTAGATACATATAAAATTCTGTGAAATGTCATATTTGATGAATCGTATGTACATTTTTTTTAAAAATTTGTTTAGTATGGTTAAAGAAAATGTAGGAAAAATCTCATTTTCTTTATTTGACTAAAGGATAATGTTTTGCTTCATATTCAACACGCCCTATATAAGTGTACATTGTATTATAATCTTTGCATTATTACTCAACAATGTATTATTATTCATGGTATAGTAATTCTAGTTCATAAACTAGAACGTGAACCAAACGATCCCTTAATGTTACTTTAAAGACATAGAATAGTTTAATTTATACATATGGCTATATGTTTTGCAGGTTGATCAGAGTACTAGCAACTAGCAATCAAAAACTACTAAAAAGCTATATATTAGCCTGAAATTGAAGGCCTAAAATTTGATCTCTTAATGACTTGGAAACAACAAAAATATGAAAAAATGGGCAAAAGCAAAAGCATAGGATCTTCGTCCAGGTAAAACTTTACGAGATAATATTTCATTTAGTCACTCAGCTATGAGCTGTTTTCACATAAAATCACTCAACTGTAAGCTCTTTTACACTTTTTAATCTTGTTTTGTTTTCTTTTTTATCCTTATTCCTTTCAGGAAACTAATGCATGCTTCATCATCAGATGTTCAGCTCAACATCTGTGGATTGCCATTCTCTTTGAATAGGGTGAGAATTACTATCATCCTCCAACGTCTCGAGTTTGAGCCTTAGTAGGAAATAATAAATAGAGTCTTAATATGTCATCTCTTTGTGTTGAACATACAGGAACTTTTGGCTGCAAGATCTTCAAAGCTAGATGCATTACTGAGAGAGAATCCTGAAGATGATCTTTCTCATTTGCTAGGAGATATTCCCGCGGATTCTGAAACGTTTGAGATTGTAGCAAGATTCTGTCATGGCTTTGACATAAACTTGTCATCTGAGAATGTTATTAAAGTACTTTGTCTTGCTCACTATCTTGGAATGTCCGAAATTCACAGCACCAATAACCTCACAAAGAAGGCTTGTTTCTACTTTCAAAACGATGTGCTTCCTAGCTGGAACAAGAGTATTAAAGCCCTCAGATCTGCAGAAAACATTCTTCAACAAGCCGCGGATCTTGCCTTGATTGATGCATGTGCTGAGTCCATCATCGCCAAGGTAATGCACGATCCAAGTCTTCTTGGAGAGCCAATGAGGAATGTAACAACAACGGATGATGATAGTGAGAACGATGAAAATGCCTACAAGCCAAATGTTAGGAGGAGGCTTTTTGTTCTTGACTGGAAATCAGAGGACTTGACACTACTTCCCATTCCTCTCTACGAGCCCATAATTCGTGCAATGGTTCAACGCAAAGTCCCTCTGGAATATGTGGCATCATCTCTGTTTGAGTATCTCAACAAATGGGTTTTTTCGGACACTAAAGGAGGAGAAGATGATCCGTTAACTTGTGAGAAGAATTCTCAAAGAGTGATCATTGAGGCAGTGGAGAGACTGTTGCCTCAAGAAAGGGGGCTAATCCCCATTTCTTTGCTCTCTCAAATGCTGCAATCTGCGATAATCTTGGATGCTCATACTGAATGCAAAACCGGGTTGGAGATTAGAATAGGAAAGCAACTAGACCAGGCAACCGTGAAGGACCTCTTAATACCTGCACAAGGATATGCAAAAGAAGAGCGTTATGACACTGAAAGTGTGAAAAGGATATTAAAGAATTTCTACAGCAATTACGCAAGCACAGATAAATCTGGCCTAGTCGTCGTAGCTGAACTTGTAGATAACTTCTTGGCTGAGGTTTCTAGTGATATAGATTTAAAGTTGAACACATTCTTATCACTAGCAGAGTTATCACAAGCAGCAACAGGAGGAACTAACAGAAATTCTGATGGTATGTATAGGGCAATTGATATATACTTGGACAAGCACAGATATCTCACAGATTGGGAAAGGGAGGAGGTTTGCAGGGTGTTAGATTCCAGCAAAATGTCTCCTGAAGCCTGTGAGCATGCTGCACAGAACGAAAAACTACCAATTCGAGTGATGGTTCAGATTCTGTTTTCTGTGCAGCTGAAGTTGAAGGATACCGTGTCCAAGAAGATACAAGGGAGTCCTGATAACCGATTGTTGAAGCTGGAAGAAGATGAGAGAGGGACTAGCAGCAATGAAGAGGAAATTATGAAAGCAGAGATAGAAAAGATGGGAAGCAAGGTGGTTAAGCTGGAGAAAGAATGCGATACGATGAGAAGGGAAATTCAAAGAGGTGGTTCCCAGCACAAGAACCAAAAGGGGAAAACAAGCATATGGAAAGAAATGAAGAGGAAACTTGGTTGTATGACAAGCTTGCATGAACCAAATTGTCATGTGAAGAAGAAAAAAGTCCATCCTCCAAAATAGAAGTTCTATTTCCGTATGCATTACTCTTAAAAACATAAATGATTTTGAATGTCATTAGGTTTTCTTTCTCATAAATGTTTTTCTGTGTAGCTTGTGAAAAGGCAAGTATCTATAAGTTTTGTTTCTTATTCACGGATAATTTCCAGGTTCAAATTGCCTATTGCTTGTGAAGAACTAAAAGTTAAAAATCAACACACATTACAGAACATAAAAACCCTAGGTGGCTAACTCAGTGCATACACTTGCAGACTTCGGTATGCTGCAAGAATAAGAACAGTTGCATGGAAGGCGTAAAAACCATATTTAAGAGCATAACTGCAGACAACTTGTTCTTTCCAACAACGCCGAGATGACGATACACAAAAAGTTATCTTCACAACCAAGCAAAAACGGTTAACGTAAGTTTGTTCACAGAGAGCTGTATTCCAGCAAACACTTCCAAAACAAACATGTTTTCCAAGAGCATCTTAATTAAGTTCAGAACTGTACATAATTTCACCAACAAAGATGCAGCTCAACATCATAGGTTTCACATTGATAGCTAAAAGCTTCTACACAGAGTCTCTGCTCTGCTTCATAAGGACTCAAGAGCAACATCTGGAGTCACTTCACCATCTTCCTCAGAAGAAGAAAGAGCTTCTGATCAAGCTTAAACTTCTGTGTCTTGAGGGCATCACTTTTCAGCATCAGCTGGAGTCCTCCGAAGGAGACATAAACCACCCTGACATGAGGAAAAGGAAAAATGAACAAATCAATAGACTGTAAAAGAGTTTGAATCTCTAAACTTGCTGAATTTTGAAAATCTAAGAAAAGTTACAGTTACAAACTTATTTCCTAAGAGAGACCACGAGGTGTTTTAAATCATTCTACAAACGACAACCGTACTGAAGGGAACTTTTAGTTGTGTTAATTGACAACAGGCACGAAGGTCTGGAGTTGTCTGTTCAGCAAGAACTGGAGAACAAATACAAGAATGAAATAAAGAGAAAAAAGTTCTTTTTGTGAACATAACTATAAAAAGAGGGTTAAGTGTGTTAGAAGAGAGGAGAAAGATTGGTGAACATTCCCCCTTTCTTTTCTTAACTAATCATTTTTCCAATCCAAACAAAATATGGAGAGATTGAGCAATGTTGACCAACAAGATTAGATTTGTTGGGAACATAACTACTATAGTGGAATTAGTGGGTGCTATGTTATTCAAAGTTGAAATGTAGCTAGTGGACTGCTGCAAACCTGCCTGCGCTACTTTCTTTTTTTCCCCGTCTAGCTTATAGATAGATCTAGAAATTAAAAAAATACATTGAAGAAATGGGACGAGCGAGTACATACACTTTTTTGTCAGCTCCTGATCCCTCCATTGAAACCTTATATACCAGCCCATGCACGATGTATTCAAATTTATCAAGAAGAGATTTTCCCTGAAATGGAAAAAGTTAAATGCATAGTCATTAGCCAGTATAGGAAAATTTAAATTTGGTGGCCACACCTCCCAACCAACACATCACAGTTGCCAAAAAGCCTTGGAATAGCAAAACCAAATTAATAAAAAGAAGCTTCCAACATTTATTTTTGAAATAATGAAAGTTATCCAAATTCAAGAAAATGAAAACCAAGTGGTGCGTTGGTTTCAAAAATACCTTTACTTCAATTTGGAGATCATCAAACAAAATGAAAATAAAAAAGGAGACCTACCCAGGAATGTACAGCAATGATAATGCATAGTCTGGATAGCCAACTACTAGACCAAAATCAACAACTTCCAAGGATTTACCAAGCAGGCTACTAAAATCTTATTAAAGATTATATCTACCATATCACGGAGAGAAGATTATCATATTTATATATCATCATATGGTCCTTGCAAAACAATAAATGAGGAGCATGCACTACTATTCAAAATATTTAAATGGAACACATACCTCAGGAGGATAGCTAGTGACAGCCGACCCTTCCATTAGTGTCGTTGATATAACCATCCTGTACAACTCTTTTCGCTTCATGGGATATAGTTCTGAGTTGATATCTAGCTGGATTGATGTCGCACCATCACTACTTTCTGCTTCTATGCGAGAAACTAAAGAAATCGACAGGCTTTAGTCCAAAAATCAATGATACAGATATGGAAAAACAACAGCAGAACATCAGAAAAGTTGATAATTGATAATAATTTTGCCTCTCCACAGATCTATCATCACTTACAAGAACAAAATCAAAACGAACATACTGTACCCAGCAAAATACACAGGTAGCTCTCTTTACGTTAAGAGAACTTGATGTGGATATAGAAAAGACACCAAATCCAGATATAAAATAATTAACAGCCAATGTTGATTTTGAGAAAGATCTTAACATGAAACTGATCCTTTTTTTTGAGATGAAATACTGAATGACATTCTAACATTAAAATTGTTTCTTTATTAATGGCACCAATTAATTATCGTCTACTTCTCTACAGAAGCGCACAGCTTAAAAAACGTTTGTTCCAACACAGGGGATCTCAAGGAATTCCTCTAACTGGCAGCATCAGTAGGAGATATAAACTTATACATTCTTTCCTATTTATTTCCACATATTCCATTTCCAGGGAAAAGATGTGAGCTCGGAGAAGAATAAAGGAAGATAGCACAGAGGAAGCCCGTGGAGACAACAATTGTCATGGTAATAATGTTTCTTAAAAGCATTGCATGTAATATCAATGAAATGCGGAGTAAATGAAAGAGGTATTACCTTTTTCATACTTTTTGCCATCAGCATCCACCTTCACCACCTTAATGATTTCGTCAAAGTGAAAAGCATCCATTTCCAGAGGTAAGCTTCGCGAAGAGACAACGTCACCTAATCACAGACGGAAAAGAATCCAGAAGAGGGTCATGATTAGTGACAATCATACATGTCTACTGTTTTATCAATTAGGTGAGATAAATTGACTTCTGCAGTAAATAATTTTATTTGACATCTCTGATAAAATTGACAAAGCTTTTATCCATTACGTGAGAGATATGTTTACTACTGTCAATATTTTAAAAGAAAATAGAAAAAGACAAGAAGTCAGCAACATCCTAAAACTAATACAGGTATCGAAAGCACAGGCCAGATCAGTTTTCAAATCACTACAACATAGTATCTAAAGAGATAATATAATGGATATCAGAAAAGAAAAACTAAAGAGGGAACACCAGACACTCAAGGATTTTTTCAAAAGAACCTTCTCAATCTTCAGAGAGATTGACATCAACCTCTCAGCAATTTCCCAAACAGAAACAAACAGCAGACCTTGACCAAGTTTAACAAGTTTTTCTACTTCATCATATATCTATGCCTCTTAAGTTGAGAAATACCCCATTAAGAACTGACCATCACATCAGGTGAAAAAGAAACATGGAATATAGAAACAAGGAAAAAAAAAGAAGAAAGAACCTGAAAGTTGCAAAGCAAAAAGAGGCTGAAGTTATCCACCACAAGAATATGCAAACTTTAGGAATCTTATAAGCACGCTATAATAACCAGATAAATGAAGATAACTTATAAATGTTTACCCAGATAAGATCAATACCCAAAGAAGAAACAATCTAACGATCTTGAAATCCAAACTACCCCATTCTGAAGAAAACATTTATACTATTCCTCTAAACTTAAATAAGCTGCACAAGAACAAGAACTAAGCCAAGGAAAGCCTTCCAGTTTTTTATTTCTCTAATTCTTACATCAAGTTTTTACAACTTTCCACCTGTCTCAGAAAAAAAAAAATCCTTCTCAGAGAGAAGTTTGCAACTTTTCACCATAATAGTCATCACTAAGTTGCCCGAATTCGAGTGCGGGTGTTTGACACATGTGCAAATCCAAGGGTCGGATTTCGCGAAGTTTAAATTTTATGATACGGGGTTGTGGATCCAGGTATGGATATGGGTGTGGATTCGGTTAAAAGATCCAAAATAATATAATAGAGCTATAAAGATCTTCTAGGTCGTCTTTCCGAGAACCCAACTTCTTCTTTTATGCTATCAGGTTCTTCCCCTCAAAAAAGAAAAAGGATGTCATTCAAGACCTTCCACCAACTCTCTTACAGATCGTTGCTACTGTATACCAAAAGTCAAAACACGACCACTTGAATTCTTAGTTTCTCTCTGCTTGGCTTGAAACATGAAGCATCGAATGTTGACCAAGAGGAAAAAGCTAAAAGAAAAGAGACAAAACGAATATAATATTTGAAGGTATGACATTTCTCATTTCTTAAATCTATTTTACCTTTTATCAAAATCTTAATTTTACCCCAAACTTGTCCATGGACTCTGGTCAAAATACCCGATGTGGGTTGACCGAACCCCACACATATTCCGCACCCGTATCGTGTCAACATAACCTGTTCCACAACCTTTTCAATTCCACTGATATGGTAAATCCCAGATTCTTCCTCTCTTCCATACCCCTACAAGCAGCTGCCCTTTGACCTTTCTCCTGATGAATCGAACCCTCAACCTTATGGTTGGAGCACAGGGTCCTTACCACTAGGCTACCCCTCCCTTGTCATTCCAAAACCTATTCCTGTAAAATCTATAATAAGCAACTGATCTAACAGCACACCAGTTCAGACCAGCAATTGGCTCAGAACTTATTCATCTCTTGTTTAACCTAACTAAATAAGAAATAAAGGGAAATCAGTAAACTTCCGGTGATCATCCAATATCAAATTCCCAGCATTTTGCGATGAAAAACTTTCAAGTTCAAATTACTACGACTCAGAAAGTTTACTTTTCTATATCAGTTTTAAAAAAAGATGTAACAGAAAGCTTATACACTTCTTCTTGTAATTCCGATGTCCGGGCCAGCTTAGGCACACCTCAATTTATGTGCTACCTCCACCAATACAAGGCTTATACACTTCCTCTGAAAGAGTAGCCACACAAGCATATCGAGAACTGTGATATACTATTTCATAAGATCGCCAAATTATTGATCACAGGTATAAGCTACTCACTCCATTTCAATTTGTTTAACCTACTTTCCTTTATAGTCCATTTCAAAAAGAATGATTCTTTCCCTTCTTAGCAACTCTTTAATTCCAAATTTTCCACATGACATGTGTAAGACCACAAGATTAAAGAGCGTTTTAATACATTTGACATATCACTAGTCTAACATAGCAAGATTCAAAAGTCTCATTTATTTTCTTTAAACTCCAGGTCAAGTCAAAATAAGCCATACAAATTGAAACGAAGGGAATATTCTTTACTAATTTTAGCAACATTACTAGTACCGAGGTCCCACCCACCCAAGCTTGATGCATACATGATTCCCACTATCCTTTTTATAGTATTGTAACAACTAAAGCATTACAAATACACTCTATTTTAAGACTTTACCTCATTTCTTAAAGGAAATTAACTACAATAAAAAGAATCCTGAACATATACCAAGCATATCTATTTACATTTTAGGTCATGTAAAAAACCTTCAACCCAGCTCATAATAATTGACCTCTAAGGTAACCTAGAACTATACCTTAATTTCTTCTCCCAAGTACCAAACTTTTTAGCCACTAATAAAAACCAACAACAACAACAACAACAATAACAAGGCATTAATCTCAAACTAATTAGGTCAGCTATATGGATTTTAAACATTCACCCGTTTCATTCAATGTTGTGACAGTTCAACACAAATTAACAAGTTTTTTGCCGTTAAAGTAACCAATAATCATACAAATTTGGACTAGTGATGCTAAAAGAAACATAGATAATCAAGATTCATGAACCAACTGAAGGAAAAAGAGAGCGAACCTGCTGAATTTCAGAGATAATTAGACTGATGTAGCAGCGAACCTAAGAAGGAAGGAGGGTTTAAAGCCTTTTAGGTGGGTTTTGGCGTTTTGTTTTATGTGATTTGAGTCCCTAAGTTATAGCTTTATTCTAATTATGATCCTTACTCTAAATATGTCAATTTGGTCCTTAAAATTAAGAAAATTGTCATGGGAACGAAGTAAAGAACGGAAAGGGGTCATATTTATCTTTCGTCATACTTTTTTTGATATATTTGCCTTTATCATCTAATTTTGGACATATATTTGTGCTTATAGAATTAATTTATCATGTCGCCAATTTTATTAGTCTATGTGGCGCTTATCTGACTCCATATGTATATACTTTTATAATAATTAAAAAATTATTTTATATTTTGTATCATATCTTGCTCATTCAGTAAAACCTGATCCAACTAATGTCAAGACACATTAATATGAAATCCGACCCAACTATATGAGAAATATCGATCAATTTCGATTCTTTCTTTCTCTCTTGATTCTTATCCTATCAGATGTACACACTTCTCCGTCAACATGTGTGCTTCCCCGAAAATAGTATTGTTTTAATGATTTTACTTTTATTATTTTACTAGTGAACTTAGCCGCACTTCACGCGGAGATAATTTTTGAAATAGTTATCACTTACTAAAATTTAAATTTTAATCTAATCGATTGCTAACATTTGCTTTCCACTAAATTGTATCATTTGAAAGTATGATATAATTTGAAGAAAGATTGATCCCTTATATTACCTTATGCCAACAAATGGGATAAAAATATATTACTCTACTTGAGCATGTGAAAGTAAACAATAATACTTGATTTTTTTTCACAACATCTCTTTAATGGGTTTTGCTATATAATTTTTATTTTCCTTTTTTTTCTATATTTTAGAATTGTTTTTCTCTCTTTTTTTGTTGACTTTTTTTTATCCATTGCATTTTACCATTTTGATCATGAAATATAATTTTCTTGAGAGTTAAATTCTGAAACAAAATGATGTTGACAGTAAAAAATTTATTTTTTAGTAAATTCACTTTGAAGCTGAATTTTAGAATTTTAAAAATCAATAAGAATATGTTTCACCTTTTCACTTCAAATTATTTATAATAATTCAAAAAACAACTTTTATTTGTGCTCAGTTAAATGATTAATAACTTTGAAATAATTATTCTTTATAAAATTCACAATTTTCACATTATTATTTTTTTTACCTTTATTTTTGCATCCTTCTTTTTACCGTTACTTCTCTGCTCCTTCTCAAAATAAATAAGTATTTATACAAAATAATATATTTTATTGATTATAACATTACAAATTAATAATTTTATCATGTATATGACAAATGTTTGTAGCTTAAAAAGAGAAAAATGTTAATACCTTCATTAATCTATACTTCACTAAGAAAGTGCATATTTGATAACACTTAATTAGTAGCATTCGAAAAGAAATCGATAAAAGATATCGTAATTAATAATATATGACCGTAATTAATTAAAATTTGAACCCTTGAGGGCCGGGCGAAAGGGCGCGGAGCCTCGAGGGTCCTTATAGATATAAGGATTAAAAAAGCTCCACCCTAACATACCTGGCATTACATCTTGCTAACATAAATCAAAAGAGAGGGACGCGATTGGCGAGGACTCACCATTTTCTTGAATGTAAATTGGTAGGTTTCCATTAGCTTCTTTAAAATACTGGAGAAGTTCATACAGACCAGAAGACATCACTGGATACTAAAGTTTTCATGAGACAAAATTTAAGTTACAAAGTATATAATCTCGATACATCACATAAGAACTAATTTTATTATATTAGATGCCTCACCTGATATGCTGCCAATGCCTCAACTGCAGAAACCCCCCCAAAAAGAAGAAGATAAAATTATCAAGCTCATGCATATCACATAATCCATCATAAACAGATAAGGAACTAGATTATGCAACTTACCGCGGACATGACTCTAGATGGGAAAATTTGGATGCCGAGTAATCTAGTTATCTTTTTAGTATTGTTATTATTACTCTCCTACTATCTTACTTTTAGGTTTAAGTATCACCACTTGTTGTTTCCTTTGCTTCAGTTATCGTATTATTTTGTCGTTGTTGTTGTGCTCTTTTTCATTGTTTCAACATGACTTCTTTTGCTACAATATTCGCTTTACATACTTGTATTTTTGTTGATATGCTTTTACTTAATTGGAGGATCTAACGGAAACAACCTCTCTACCTTCACATCACAAGGCAGGGGTAAGGTTGCATACACATCACCCTTCCTAGACCCCACTTGTGGGATTGTATTGCGTATGACGTAATGGTTAGAATTCGTGATCATTTAGTAAGAATTGGATTACATACATGAGACCTTTGCCGCCATGTCAGCACCGAACTCCCTGCTATGCTTTTCAATGCTGGAAGGCCTGTCCTTCACAGATACAGTAATATAGTGGTTTAGGCCTATGAAGTCAACTGAGCCCTTAACTCAGCTTCATATGTGGTGAAGGTTGGAATTCTTGTCCCGGCAGCCTTCTTCATTATAGAGGGATAGTCTCCAAATACGAAAGGGTTCATAATCCTGCAGCAAAAGTTAATATTGTAAACAAATGTCTCAGTTGCAAACAACAACATGCACGGTGTAATCCCACAAAGTGGGGTCTGGTTACCTAGGTAGAGAGGTTGTTTCCAATAGACCCTCCGTTCAAGGAAAAATAGTTCAAATCAATTCGGAGAGGGAAATAGTAACAAAAATGAAAAACCTACAGCAAAATACTATATAAAGCATGACCAAACATTCCGAAGAGTTAACTACAACAAAAGTAGGACAATAGTAGTACAAGAAGCGGCAATAGTAACAGAAATCTAGTAACAAGAAGCTACATGAGCAATGCTACGACAACTAATAAGGAAGAAACATACTTTACTTGCAAAGACAAGATAAGTGTATTTAACATGCTATCAAAGGTTACTAGTACCTTTATTTTAAATGACCAGATAGTGTATAGAACGCTTACACCATCAGTATATAGAAGTTAAATCCTAAAACTTACCAACCAGTATAAAATTCATTTGCTCGTTGGGCTGCAATTACATCAGAGGTTGCATTTGAATAAGGAACGAACCACATACCATATATATTAAATCCCACGAAACCACGTTGACTGGACTGCATTGCAAAATTTTGCTGCCATTAGTAAGCACAAATCCTATAGTAAAACTGATCAAACTATAAACTCAAAGACTAAAATGCTAAATCATTGCGACTTAAATAATAATACAGATGAAAGTTATATACCTTGTAATTTCTCCTATACAAATTCGTTGCAGATGCAAGTAGCGTGTTAGAGCAACCATATATGGCTCGGCAGATGAATTCCCTTTAGAACAATTAACTATGAAAGGCAGGGAACAACGCCCAGGAGGGGTGAAGCCATAATCATAACCTCCAATCGCATATATATTGGCCTCATTAATGGTTGTCCAATACATCACCCTGTCACCAAATCCTTGATTCATACCTCTGCATATGCCGTGAAGTCCTTCCTAAAATCAAAAGAAAATTCTACTGTTAAAGTTAATCATATCCAACTGTCCTTATACTCAAACTGATCTATGAGTATATCGACATTACACAATCTTTCTGCTTAATCAGCCCCCGTATACATCTTGAAGTGTGTGGTAGATCACTGTGAAAATAGTGTAATGTGTGGTTGAATACGTGCAACATTGAAAGATATGAATGACTTTTTTAGTTTACTAGGAAGTTTAGTGTGTTGCTTTTCAAATCTTGCTATTATATGTAATCGACAAAATGTACTGAAATTTCTAAACGTTGGAATTGTTATGTAGATATGACCGTGGCTGATAAGTTCATCAATGTAATTGTTGTAAAATTGTAAACCCTTTGGATTTACAGGTCCTCTTCCACCTGAAAGAGAACAAACGCGGCATCAAAGGGGATAGAAATTAATAAAACAAAATAATGTGAGTTGTTTTCATACCAGGAATAAGTCGAGACCATAAAATAGAGAACTTGTAGGCTTCTAAGCCCGTGTCAACCATGAGTTGGACATCGTCCAGCAACAAAAATTTGATGAACTCAAAATGCCTTTCTTAGTGAAAAAACTAATTGAACATAATGCTACCCAACTCCTTACAAAATGTAAAGAACAACCATAATATGTTGCTCGGACTCCACAAAATGTAGACAGCTGCACGTCTGATCCTCCAATAAAAGGTACATCTTTGTATTCACCTTGTATTTGTGGTAAACATCACATGTTATGTCTCCATTGGCTCCACCGAAAAAAACTGGAAGCAAAAACGTGAAATATCATATGCCAATCTGCAGTTAACCTAAGTATCTAACTCACAACATTTGTTTGTGAGTTAGATATAACTGCTCCAAATACATATGATAAGTTCAAAAATAGTATATCCCCTTGATCAAATATAGACCTATGGCCATAAGTAGTAGTATAACAATTTTCTGCACTCGTCACTTAGGCTTGTTGAGGATGTAATTAAATCATAAAAGTAAGCTCTCTCTAACAGCTTAAACTATCAGATGAGATGGTCACTTACTCTAACAAGGCCCAACTGAAGCGCAGACCGGGAGCACAAAGAGGAATGAACATGACTCAAATATCATGTAAAAATATGACACATAAGTCTAATTCAATTCCCAAAGCTCTCTCATAAAGGAAAAACTGCCTAAATTTATATAAACAAACCACCAAATTAATCCATTCTCCAACTAATGTGAGACTCTAATCCACTCTAACAATGTGACATAGCTCTAAGTGACAAATACTTGAGATCAATCAGGCCAAAGCAAACAATACATGTCAACTATCTCTAGTTTCAAGACTGTTCGAACAAAAACTCAGAAAGAGCAAAAGAAAAGGCTGCAACGCGAATGATTCATTATTTAGGAGCATTACTAAAGTATTTCAAAGATAGGATTATCTTGACGTAGGGCCAAAATAAACCTATGTTAAATGAAGTCTCTATCGTTCTGCTTAAAAAATCAAATATGAAACTTCATACACCTTAAAGTTCATATGACGATAAAGAAGCAGAATTCGAAAGATTTGAGAAACAAAACCAGCATGAGCAAAAGTGTCCCATATACTAGGTGTCTTTCCATCTTCAAATGTTGTCCCTTCAACCTTTTTATTCAAATGTAAACAAATCAATCAAATAATTAAATCTGATTACTATAAAAAAAATTAGCAAAAAAAACTTTTGGAACTGACTTGATAGGCAGAAGTTCCAGCACCAAAAACAAAGCCAGGAGGGAAGTCACCTCTGCTACAATTGTCCACACAAAAGACTATCACTAAGAATGGATTGCAAATGGAGCATCATCATTCTTGTACTCTCAATACTTAAGTGACTTCTTCACAAGACTCCGAAACACCATATAGTAGAAAACAGATTGTTTTGTGATTTTCACGCTCTAACTATCAGATGTTTTATTTTTCTACCTGAATGATTATCATTTATAACACATTCACTATCAATTATCCTCTTTTTAAATTCGAATTATGGTGATATTTCAAACAGAAAAATTGTTGTGTTTTTCTATTTGAATTGTTATCATTCAGGGGAAAAAGTCTGAAATATATTTGAACTTCGACCGAAATTATTGTGATAATATCAAACTTTGAAAATGACATTTACCATCTTGCACTGTTTAATAGTGTATTTTAAAGATATACATGTGTCACGTGGACATCATAAGTATTGCATTATTATAAATAGTAATGTGTCCACGTGTACACATATATACTTTAGAATATACTATTAAATAGTGCAGGGGTAAAACGTCCTCCATAAACTTTGATATCATTTTCAAACCATTTTCCCTTTATAAACACACCTTGGGTATCAATTATTCTCTTTTTAAACTTGAATGATGGTGATATGATATGCTTAATAAATAGATGCTAATTATTTACGTTTGGTAATGAGAAAAGCTTCATCCACAAACGTCAAATTCAATTATCTTGAGGAACCACCTATATTGGACCGTGCATGCCTACATTCTAATATTAACAAATATGTATTATAAAAACTTGCTTTAAAAATGTTATGCGTTCAATTCACACTCATTGTCTTAAAATAATCACAAATCTGACTACGACACATGGACCCAATTTAGCAATAAAATATAAATTCTCAATTTTAAAAAATGAAAAAAAATTCCGCCTTTAATAATCCAAAAAATCAATTGACAAAAAGATATACCAAAAATGGCCAAAAATTAATAATTACGTGACACCTTTCTATGGATAAAATTAAATTCCAATCCACCAAACTTTCTCCTACCCTCCCGACCCATAGAGAAATTTGTGAAATCCCTAACTGAGATTGTAAACACAATATTGAGGAAGAAAAAAGATGCTCATTGAGAAGAATGAAGTAGTATGTTTGTCACTATGTTTGTAGCCTTCTCCCTTTAAGAAATTATAGTACCAATGTGCAGAAACCTTTGGATATCTTGTTAACTCTTTGTCATTCAAATCCACATAGTATAAGCCAAACGCGGATTCATACGCGTTGAATAACTCAAAACAGTCTAAAAACGACCATGTGAAGTAGCCTTTCACATTTGATCCATTCCTAGAAATAACAAATCAGTAAAATATGCCATGTCTATAGTGTGTCGAGAGCTAGGAGATTCAAAATATGAAGAAGTAAACATAGGAAGAAGTCAAGGAAGTACTTTTGATGAGCCCTTCGCGTCACTCATTAAATAACAAAATTGTGTAATGTAAAGATAGAGGGGGGCTTACCTCACAGCATCATCCAATATAAGCTTGAAGATAAATTCTATCCGAGTTGTATCATTTAACGTTGCAGGTGTCATTTGACCTGACAAAACAAACAACACATTATCATTTTCCAGGCTGTTGGAGCTGTCTTTAACGCGTACTGTTGCATACTGATTCAGGGCTATGAAATCTACAGCACCTTTAACATGCGTAGATTCTTGTTTCATGAATTTGGGCAATCTAGAACCAGCATTCTTCTTCATTATATCGGGATAGTCTCCAAATACCAATGGATTCACAAACCTTCATTGAGGATAGGAAATTTATTAGTCGTTAAATATTTGAGATAGTCGAAATGTATAAAAGCTAAGGAACTTCTTCATCTTACCACCCGAGGTAAAAATCATTAGCTCGTTGTGCTACATTTACATCAGCTGTTTTATTTGTATAAGGAAGAGACCAAAGAGATTTAATCCAACAAAACCATTTTGAGTCGACTGCACTGGAGCGCGTACACACTATTAGCAAACATTTGGGTTTAGTACACTAGTAAAAAATAGTAGTCGCGATGTTTAAAGATGATACATATGTATTTTCTCCTGTAGAGTCTCAACCACAGCTGAATGCGCGAGCAGTAAATTATGACCTGCTATGTAAGGCTCGGTTGATGAGTTACCAATAGGGCAGGGTTTCATTCCGAAGGGCGGGGAACAATGATTTGGAGAACTCGTTCCATTATATCATAACCGCCTAGAGTGAATACATTAACCGCAAATCTTGAAGCACACATCTGCATAGGCAGTGAAGTCATCGCTAAAAGAAAAACATCAACAGTGATGTTATATCATTCCGAATGTGTAGCAAAACATGAACCAAACTAAAAGTACTCTGCATCACACATTATTTTTCGACTCATTCATCCTCCATACTCGTCTTCAAGTACTTGTGGCAGATCACTGTGACATAGAGTAACATGTGGTTGAATTCCTACAAATTAAGGAAAAATAAGAACACAACGGAGTCAATCAGATAATCGATAGATCATTTCTCAACTCTGGAAAAATTAGAACTAGTGCATATGGAAGTGTGATCTTTACCATGACGGACGATCTCATCAATTAGATTATTGTAATACTGCAATCCCTTAGGATTAACAGGACCTCTTCCATCTACATAGAGAGAAAGAACGATAAAGCTTACGACAACATTATATGTACTAAGTAGTTGAACAAAAGAGCTTACTGGGAATAAGTCTCGACCACGAAATGGAAAATTTATACCCTTCAAAACCTGGATCAGCCATGAGTTTTACATCTTCCTACAATATACAATATTTAAAGGCAATCATCAATTATGTAAACTCGAACTTAAATTGATCATGTGTCCTCTTCCGCACCTTGTATTTGTGGTACGCGTCACAAGATACATCTGCAGTAGCGCCTCCATATCCACCTGATGAAAATTTAGGGACGGAACTTGTACCATTTAGTATCGGCATAATACATATATTGGACCTAAACTTGATCTCCAACTTTCATAATGCACAAACATGCACTTGAAATGTCCAACTTTTAAATAAATAAACACATGAGTCCTACATGGCACAATACACGTACGACAAAAAATGACATGTAGGACGTGTGTGTCTATTTGTTCAATTTTATACAAGTTTAAGTGTCTACTTGTGCACAACCAAAGTTGAAGGGCATAAACGTAATTCGAAGCAAGTTAAAGGGTACATTTATGTATTATGCCTTTAGTATCAATTGCACTTCTATCATAGTGATCTTCGAAATATCTTTTTATCTATTCATACTATATTAAAAAAAATTATATATAGTATATCATTAGTTGAATAATGCAAATATAATATTGAGAAAATGTACAAGTACCCCTCCAGCTATGATCGAAATTTTCGAGACACATCTTAATTAATCTAATGTCCTATTATCCCTCTGAACTTTTTTTTTGTAATTTTATACACTTTTTGTGTTACGTGGCACATTTCGTGACTCCATGCAATTAAGGCCCGTGGGAAATATTTGGATGTCACGTAATCCAAAAAGGTGCACAAAATTATTAACAAAAAAATTTGGGGGTAATAGAAACTTAGTTTAATTAAGGTGTGTCTTTGAAATTTCGATTACAATCTAGATGATACTTGTGCATTTTCCCTATAGTATTCCTATTGAATTGCTTGTGTAGTGTAGATATGATTTCTCAATATAGTGAAGATGATTTTCGCCAAAATAAAAGTCTACCTTGTATATTAAATAAAATAAAATGGTAAGCATGACTTATAATTAGATAGATAGATAGATAGATAGATAAATTAATGGAAATTCTATTTATTTAGAGTTTTTTTTTTTTGTTAATATTTTTTATGAACACCGTAAAATTTAACTTTGTCCTAAAAATATAATTTAGAATTTAATACAGACGCACAAATAAAAAAAATCTTGAAATTATTTTTCTTTCTTTACACGTTTTTAAAAATAACATACCAAATAGAATATACGGAATCAACTATATTTAAAGTACTAAAAGCATAGATAGTAAAATAAGTTGAAATATAATTTATTGGGTTCAATGATAATAATATTTGACTCAAAATATTTAAACAAAAAAAATTATTTATAAATCTAATGGTCCGCACGAAGCGTGGATATTTTTACTAGTAAAGAATACAATTCAATTGTCAAAGCCAAACGCTAGATTTAAACAAAAATTAATAGTCATTCAGTTTTCAATAAGAAATAAATCTAGATAATAATATGCATACTTCCTTTTGAGATATTAAAATCATTTTTTCAATAATTTCTTTATCGGCGTGAGACATTTCATTCAACATCATCCTTTTCACGATACTTGCATATATTTTGATACCATATCAAATTAGCTTTTAAAAAAATAATTATTCGAGTCTTATAAGAAACACAAAATTTTATACATTCACCAAAGCATGATATTTCTTTTTTGATTCATCCTTAGCTATAACTATATACAAACTGTGAAGAACTAAACCACTAGAATTAAGTACAAAACTTCAAAACATGTTTTATTTTTATTTTTTGGAAAAGGTCAATTGTCCTTAAATTATGTGAAATAGACCACTTATATCTTTCATTATATTTTGGGATAAAAAAATTTCCTCGCCGTTATTTTAAAAGACCACAAATATCCTCAAGAATTAAACATGGCAAGCCATGTGAAACTAATCCTTCCACCTAAGTGTTACCAATTAAGATTAACTACAAAAAAACTAGACCTTTAGCAGTGATAACAGTCACCTCAAAAGCCCATAATATGGTCAAAAAATTCTATTAGGAAACCTCCCTTAATAAGCCTTATATAATACAAATTTAAATTAAATAGGACTCTAATTAAGATATCAAGTAGTGACAAGCAATTGATGAGAAATTGAAAAACAACCAATTAACATTTTTAAGAAATAGCTAGTAGGATTTCTTTTTAAGAATTTTTGGAGTTAAGTTGTCACTCGAGAGGCGGAGCTAGTAGCTCGCATATGGTGAGATCTTCAATACATAGTGCATTTGTTGATTATCTTATGTTGAATATAGTCTAAATTTCTAAATTGTTGTATGTAATAATGAATAGTTTAGAATAAAAAACATCATCCAAGGCTTAAAAATCTAAATAAAGTGCTTAAAAATAAAATACATTCAATGGTGAAGTTTTAAAGTAGCCATACCAATTCTACAAGAAAAGGAACATTTTAAACGGGTTAAAGTTTTTATAAATGGAAGGCATTTGATTTGAACCCGAAGTCGAAAGGACTACTCTTTTTGTTTATCTAAAATACAAAAAAAAAAAAACTTGTAATCTCAATGATTAAGGAATTAGAACTCAGAATAACAAGTATAAACTGAGTTTAAAATTCAAGAAACTTTGCTTAGAACGCTAAACATTACTTTTTATGACTAAATTTAAATATAGCACTTGAGAGCGAACTTAGTCCAACACTATGAGTCACCTTACATATCTACAAGAACAAAATTTTTAAAGAAGCTTGAAGAAGAACTTGCTTGGAAACCTTGAAATCCTAGATTTTGTGTTTCTTAAAGTTCTTGAGCGTAGAATTTTTTTTATATATAAAATAAGAAGATTGAAATAATTAAAACTGATTGACTTTGGCTTTTGTAGAGAAATTAATGGTCATGGATTGTGGTTTGGGGATGAGGAAAATACATAAACACGTCTCCTTAAACGTGATAAGAAGAGAAAACTAAAAGTTTTCCGAAGTAACGTGTGTGGTCGCCCAGCTGAAGCTTAGTTCACGCGACACATTGCGCAACCTTAGTAGTAACACTAACCCTTGCCGCTCGAATACATCACTCGCAATGGAATACATCGCACGAATATCCCTACTCTTTTCGAAATTACAAAAAGTCCTTAAAATTTAAGGATTTCTAACATATCACTCAACATTTGATGCATCACGTTCCAATTTCGGATACATTACTCAATGTCCCGATATATGACATCTCGATTTCATATACATCAGTCAATGTCCAATACATCGCATCCAAATACTTCACTCAACGCCTCGATACATTACCTTTTGTTGATACAAGACCCACCACTCCCATTACATTGTGTCTTGATATATCACACAAGATTGATATATCCGAGAATCGAAGAGAATATGATTTTTTATAATTTTTTCAATAAAGAATTTTAGAAAATATATAAACTGTGAATATAAATAATTTTTCTTATTTTTTTTAATCTTATATTTAATTTTTAATTTTTATCACAAGACTTATTTTCTTCTTCATTTTCAAATGTTTGACTTGAATTTCAGTAATAGCACTGAATTTTGGACAACCATTAATTCAACAAAGTTGACATGATCTAACCTGTCTATTTAATTATATGAAAAGAGTAATGCTAAATAGACAAAAAAAAATAAAATAATTTGGTCTTTGACTAGAAATTTAAGAAGTATATAATATTTTTTATTTTAAAAGGTAAAAATGTTGAAAAAAATAGGTAAAATACTATTCTAGTCAAATTCTGGCCAAATTTTTTGATCAAAAATATTTTTCCTTATAAAAACATTAATTTTTAATTTATTTACCAATTCACTGGACAAATAATACATATGTCATTATTTCTAATTACCAAAAGAACATACACAATCTCTAACTTTTTTCCTTGTTAAGTTAGGAAATAATCCATATAGCCATGCTCTTCACTCTTCTCTTTTATTTCCTACCAAAAACAATTTGTGAACCCTTTTACACTTATTTTTATTTTTTGTATTCACTTTGACTATTTCCTCACTTTATAATTAATGAAAATCATTTGTCTTTTACTTTCATTTCCCCTCTTTCACCTTAACCAAAGAAATGTCATCGACAAGGAATCTGACGTCCTTCTTCAGTTTTCCGTTCAAATTTGTAGGATTACTTATAATTTTTTGAATTTTGAACTTCTTCAGTCTCTCATCAAAATTTCTGACCGTTTTTTTTTCTCCCAAAACTAGCCGTTTTCTTCATCATCTAAAACAGAGCCGAGGGTTTTTAGACAGCTAATAAAGCATCTCAGGTTTGAGGATTTTTGATTGAGAAAACGTTTTCTTCTTCGGCTGTGCATCAATCTTCTTTGTTCGTCGGAATCCAGTGGTGGAATCTTCATTGCTGTTCGAAAAAACGTAACCCTTTTCTCCTTTGTTGCTTCATTTTTTTAATTCTCTATCTTTGGTTTAAGTTTGGCAGATAGTTTTCTAAGTATCTCGTGAAACTGCCATGTATTTCGATTTACTCGTTTGTCGATCTTCATTGCTTAGCTGATCTTTCTTTGATTCCCTCGATAAAGCATATAATGGATTGGATTTTTTTGTTTATTAATGGAATCTTTGGCTTCAGAATCCTTTACAGATTAAAGCATATTCTTGCTGTTATGATTTTTGCTTCATACATGCTTCCATTTCTTAAAGTTTTAGTGTTAGTATTGATTAATTTTGAGTGCACATGATTGCTATGTGTGTGAGTTATTCACCTGTATCATCAATGTTGCATTAAATGACGTTTTGTTTCTTTGTTTTGATTTTTAGTCTTAGTTCACTGTTTGTATCTCTTGAATCTGATATGTATTTTGGTTTACTCGTTTGTGGATCTTCATCACATAGGCTTATCATTCTTGCTTGGTTTGAGTGCTTTAATCACTGTTTCAGTCCCTCATTTAAGTATATAATGGATTGAGAATCCTTTACAGATAGAATTATGTCTGCTACTAGGATTCTTGCTTCAAACATGTTGCTCCTTTGTTGCCATTTCTTTAAGATTTAGTGTTAGTATAGATCAATGTTGAGGGCATAGTAGAGATTCAAGCTCCACAAAAGCTCTCTGTTAGTAATTGATTGCTGTGTGTTTGAATTATTCTTGTTAACTTCACCCCTATCTCTTATATCAATGTTTCATCATCTTATCAATTAATCCAACTTACTTTTTTATTTTGTCCGTTCACTTTACTTGATTACTTTGAACTTGATGGAATCCCAACACCACGTCTTAAAACATGTGATTTCAATTATACTAAGGTTTTTTGCGTTTGAATTGAAAAGTTATCTACATCTATGTAGTACGAAATATTTTTTTATTTACTATTTTCTTCATCATGCAGTCAGGATTATTGCATTCACAACCCAAGTCAACTGTAGGATCACCTGCTTGCTTCCCTTTCTCTGCTAAAAGAAAAGCCCTTAACATTACTACCATTGCATTACCCTGACTATTTTACTTTATCAATTTCCTTTTGACCAATCTGTTAGGGAGCCTTTGGTTGCAATATTTTTGGGATTTTACTAAATATTGCAGTAGTGGATATGTTTAAAATTTGTGCACTAAAGGGTTAGATAGGGTATTCATCGAGTCAGCTTCATCTTGTTCGAGTGAAAGGGAAGCAAGTATGCAAGAAATGAAGTTGATATACAGCCGGCATGCCTGTGTAAAATGGGTTGTAAATGTCCACTATTCAGGGGAAGTAGATGATTTACTTCCCCTTGGGGGTGCTGCAAATGTTGCTACTGCTGCTGGTGGACCTGCTAGTGTAAGATCTGGTCAATCTCCAACCGGAACCACAAGATATGGGATCAAGGTTATTGTTATGGGGGTTATGCTGGAAATTAATCAGGTTATGCTGAAAATGAGACTGGTTGGATTGCTTGAATCCTAGTAGTTTGCAGTATTTATTTCTAGTTTATTAGTATTGTCGCTATTATTACCTATTTCATCATATTGTTTTTAAGTGCAGTCTTTATCTCGCTTGCTTATGATTATGTTTGTTAAATGTGGTTCATTTGTTTTCATAGTCCATTTATATGTTGGCTTATTGCGAGAATTTACTTTTTGAGTGAGCCATTAGTTGGGGAATTATTATTTGAAGTGGATTTTTACCTGCCTTTTGAAATAGGTAGATGGTTTGGTATTGTTATTTCAAGTGTCACATAAACAGAAAGACAACTACTTTTCTTTGTGTGATGTAGTTGGACCATGAGATTTGGTGGTGCTGCATATTCATAAGAGAGCAGTTGCAAGAGACTTGGTAGATCAGTATGTAATGGATAGTGATAATGTTAGTAGCGGTAGTTGAATTTTGAGAATGGCATAATTATTTCCCCCTGTATTTGACCTTGTGTTGTGCAGGAGGAACATACGATTTGGGTGCTGGAGATGTTTAGCCAAGATTGGCTTTTTTGATGGGTATTGTCCTGAAAGTTGTCGTGGTGAAGCAGACCAAGGCCAAACAGGCGCTGTTAAGTTGCTTGGTAAATGTTGCATCCAGTTGCTTTTACTTTTGACACGTGACACTTTTAAAATAATAATTCTGATGTGTTGTCATTTTTTTTGTCTGTGACACCCGCATTGGGACTTATTCGAGTGAAAGGGAAGCAAGTGATGATATACACTAGTATATACATAGATATACAGTGATGGGCCAAAGCCCAAATTGCAGCAGCGGAGACCCAAAACCTTAATCCAGCCGGCCCAAACCATCAGTACAACCCAAAAAAGTGATTTACTTCTTTTCTATTTATTGCTTTAATTGTAATTATTTGCATAAATCTAACTTTAGCTTTAGTTTGATTTAATTAGATTCTACTAAAGATACCAATTTTCTTTTTAACGTAGATTTACTTCACCTAATAATTTTAATCAAATGCTTTTCACTTAACTAAATATGACTAAGTTTATCTTATTTTCAAAATTTTTTTTAAGGGATACCTCCGTTGTTCTTTACTTTAAATAACTTTTTTTAATAGTTGATTAATATTTTCGGTCAATAACTTAACATATTCATGTGAAAAGCATTTGATAAAAATTAAAGTTTTAAATAAGTGTGAATTATTTCATAATAGTCAGTCGGCCTTTTAAAAATACTTTTTTCAAATTAATTTATGCTTAAAATGTTTCAGGTGAGGGGGGGGGGGGGGTCCTCGGGGTGCGGAGCCTCGAGGGCCTGGGGTAGAAGGGGGTGGGTCCTCGGGGCGCGGAGCCTCGAGGGCATGGTTAACACGAATTTACAACTACTCAATGCATAAAACCTAGCCTACCTAGGCGCCAAGTAAATTCACAAGCTTTTTGAATTTGTTCTCAAACTTCTCCGGACTCACTATGGTACATTTGACCAAGAATACGCAAGATTCTGTCATCCCCATGCTAGAAAGTTCTTTGTCCTTCTTTTCCAAGCTAAGAACAATTTTTTGTTGTTGAGATTTTTAGGATAATTTATGACTTCTCTAGGTATTTTAGGAAGATTGGCAAAATAGTAAATCTTACGTTATGTCTCGAGCTTATTCTGCTGTAGCAATCACTTACCTCGTTGTAGCGCGACAGGGTCCAAAATTTTCATAGCGAATTTTGTCTTTCCTAAATAACAACGGTTCAGGTTACCGTTTTCAACGACATGACTTTTTTTGAAAAGATGTAATATTTAATTTTTTATATTATAAAAAAGTAATAAATGAAATAAAATAAATATATTTAAAAATAGCGAAAAAATAAAATTAAACGAAAGGGATAAATAACAATAAATAAGAAGACAGAAATTTACTCATAAATCGCATTCAATGAATGCTTATGCCCTTCATTCTCAATTTTTGAGAAGAGTTTTTCAAGTTTTGAGCAACATGATGTTTTTTAAAAAGATAAAATATTTACTATAAAAATAATAAATGAAATAAAAATAAATACATTTTAAAAATAGTGAATATAATTGTAATGCAGTAGATAAGACCGATCTTTTCTTAGTTGAAAATTGTGGTTACTAAATAAGGAGAATAAGGATACAAGAGAAATCATGAATAAAAACTTTCGAGGATGGAGACCTTTTCGTAGTTTTTGTTTATAAAATATGGCAATTGAATAATGTATCCCAAGGCTTACGTTTGTTGTGTGTGCCACATGACAACATCACATTGGCTTCGATTTCCTCACATAACTTGCAAGACTTTGTAAGCTTCCTTCCCCATTTCCAATCATTCTTGCTACTATTTTTTTCATCCCAAAAACATACTTATCTCTAAGCCATGGGACAAATTCTTGAAAAATTTCAAGGTAATTAATTTATATCATCTTCTTTAAATTCACAAATCATCTTGTTTTGTGATCTATTCTAGTCACAATCGATCTTGGTTTCACTTGATGATATTAAGATTTATATATTTTAATTTTCTGCTTGTTTGGTTACACTGGTGAGCAATTACTGTGTCCGATCGATCGATTAGTATTATCCCCAAATTCTATGTTATGTGTTTTTCCATTATTTGCTATGTCCTTCTTTACTGCAGCAATTCTTGAGCCGAGGGTTTACTCTCTCCGGACAGTACTTGTGGAATTTCACTGCATATGTTGTTGTTGACGACTATTTTGTTGCAGGCAAGCAATGGAGAGAAAAACAGATGCGAAAAATAACAGATAAGGTGTTTAATCGTTTCAAAGATGAAACAGGAAAAGCTTATCTAAAGTTCGAAGACCTTTACATTGCTGTTCTACTTGTCTACAAGTAACTCACTGTTTGTTGTTTTTCAGGCTTATCCTTTGAGTTCACTACATCTAATGACTTGTGATTGTTGCAGTGATATCAACAAGCTTTTGCCTGGTCCTCACTTTGATCCTCCTTCTAAAGAAGAAGTTAGAGCCTTGATGCAGGTACAGATTCAGACGGATCCAGTAGCTTTTGTTTAGACCCGGTATATATTAGGGAATTCAATAAATATGTACAAGTAGTACAAACTCGCTAACTAAAACGAGCTATGAATTTGGTGATAAGTTCTGAATATATCTATAAACTTCAAATTTTGGCTCCGTCTCTGACAGTAAACCCAACAATGCATCTTGTATTCCTTCTCTGAGAATCTATGTTGTTCAGACTCTTCAAAAATGTTATCAGGTGTTTTAGATCCTCCAAATTAGTGTATTTTTTAAAGAGATTCAACAGGGGTGCTGTATTAGGGGGGATTGTTTCTTTTTTTTTTAATCCCAGTATTATTTATCTTGTTGTTTTTCCTTGAGACAGGAATGTGATATGAATCTTGATGGTGAACTAGATCATGAAGAATTTGTGAAATTTGTGAAAAGATTAACAAAGGATACCTTCATCACTGTGAGTCAGGGACTGATTATTACTTTAGCAGTAGCACCAACAGTTGCTGTGTTAACAAAGAGGACAACAGAAGGAGTCCCTGGTGTTGGGAAAGTGGTGCAGAAAATACCAAATGCTGTTTATGCCTCTCTAGTTACCCTTACAATAGTCATGTTTCAGAAAGCAGCTGAGTCTAAGGGAATTTGAAATTTGTTTTCTTACAGAACCAAGTTTCTTCTTATGTGTATAAGATAACAGAGACATCTGCTACACTTGCAAGTTGATCTATCAGCATCTCATCTGTTGTGATTTTTGCTTATGTAGAGCTCATGTTTTTGTTGGGCAGTTCACAGCTTCCATATTGTGTTTTTGCACAATTGGTGATGAGTAGCTTTCTTACCGCTAGGAAACATCATAATACCTGATAATTCAGATATAAAACTCACAAAAAAACGATACTTCAAGTGTGTTTTTGACCATTATCTTACGAATGATCAATTTTGAGCCTAAACTGGTGTAATGTTCAGTTGCTCTTGACTCTACAAATAGTCAATTTTGAGCTCCCCAGATCAAGATTATTTGCTCCAATGGCTGAGAATTTGTTTTTTTGGCCACTTTTCTGCATTATTTGAGGAGTTCAAGTATGTGCATTGACATAGTAAGTTTGACTTACAACATGCACCTTTGTATTGCAAACTTGATATAGTAAATGAAAAATGGAGCAACAACACACTATAACTGGTTGATTGAAGTAAATTTGTACAAGCATTACCCTCATGGGGTCACGAAGCGAAAGGGGATTTATTGTTCCCAAACACCCGAAGGGAAAGAAATGGATACAAAAACCTTAAAACTCTGAAAGGAGTACACGTTGTTACAGATTAGTATAATCAATGAACATCCACACGACAAACATCATACATACAACAGGAAGTTGTTAATGGGAAAAGACGCAGGAATTCACAAGCCATTTGCCAATTTACCACTCGAAGGAACCTTTAATATCATCCAAGCTCTGCCCAAGGGAGTACCTGCCAAAAGAGAAGGAATAAGTAGAAACTAGAGATTCAAATTGCATCCTAAAGGGTAAACAAAGGTGAAAGGAGTTCATTCGATTTGCTTTGAAGATAATTCAATGAGAAAGGTTGCAGAAATTAAGACTCACATGAATACTATTTACCGTTCTGTGTATACAAACATTATCCAGTATCAGACATCATATGTTCTAGTTTCTATTTCAACAGAATGTAAGCATGAGGAGGGGTAGACAGTACAAGAAAAAAAGTTTAAAGAGAATTATTTTCAGCGACTAGTTTCATCTGCTTCACTGCTTGTTACCAGTTCAGACACGGATTTGGCACTCTTAAAAAGCGACTGGTATTAGCACCATCCCTACAAGCTTTAAGTCTGCCAACTGACAATATTTTGAGAGAGAAATGTCAATCAGGCCTATTACGACTGTTGTAGGTTTGTAGCTTGTAATTAGGTGAGAAGTAAATATCAAGGTGTAGTAAACTGATTGCAATATTTTAAAAGGGATGTAAAGATTGGGCAATTTTTGGAAGCTATGCATTAATTTAACTAGAATATGGGATCAACTTCACATAAAAGACTTCTTGATCATAGCATCAACATTTTATAGAATGCACTTCATTTGTTTCTATTTTGTTTACTTTCTTTTCCATTTTCTTATTCTACTATTAAACAAGACCAGAAAACCATACTTGGCTATAACTGCAAGCTGCGTACTGAGCACATATAGAGGCTAGAGGATTAAACTAGAGAAGTTTTGAGATGGTCAGGTCGTGCTATGCAGATCTTAGATACTCCGGTCGTATGAAACCATAGTGACTGCAGATGTTAAATAGGGACAAGGTACTTTCTCCAAAAAAAAACAAATAGGGACAAGGTAAACCTAAATTCACAAAAATAAGATATTGTAGTGAAACAAATGCAATCTCTTGGAAGTTGGAATCAATGCAGATTTGACAGAAAGTAGAGCACAATGGAAAAATAATCTATATTGGTGTATTGACTAGTTGGGATTAATTGATCAAGACTATCATGTTGTACGCTTACTTTAGGTCCAATATTCAGCTAGGATTCTCTTAATCTTGTTCGAGATTTGTATGCAAATAGAAGATATAGAGAACTTCAAAACCTAAATTAGTAAATATTTGACGGAGACAGATCTAAATGGAGCGACATAGATAGTGAGGATTCATATAACCGGCCCCAAGTTTAGAACTGAGGCGTTAATAGTTGTTTTGGTTCTCACACTAAAATTTATGATTTTTCAAGCTGTCACCACAGACTGTGATAGTACTTCTAGGATCAATAACGGGAGACTGCCCCCTCACCCACTTTTCCTTGAAGATAAACTTGATGAACTAAAGTGATCTACTTTCTGCATGGATTAGCTAAAAGAAGAGCATTCATCAGAAAAGGAGAATCTGAATCTCATTCAACAAATTTGTAGGAATCTCTAGTGCGATCTCCTAGGTCAAACATTTGTTTGTTAAACAAAATAATTTTCTAAAATCTGAGGAGCTCATCTTACTTTGTACTTCTATATGTGGTTGTTAACAAGTTGAAGCAGATAAATGCTTATATGCTACAATCCGAGCAAGCATCAGGAACATGCTTCATGAAAACACTAAAGATGACTGTCTATCATCCTCCTCAAATTTGTCCTTATCCCATTTAACCCATCCTACCAATACAAACCAATTGTAACTTAACGTACTTGCCCAAAGTGACCATTTATGCCTATCTGAAACGTTATGTAACAACACTAACAGAACTTGAGAATAACATTATTCTCAGTTTTTTTTACACCCTAGTTTACATTGGTCCACAGAAGCACATAAGACATTCCCATCAGGAAGCGTGCAAAAATGGATTTTGAAGAAAAGGTCAAGTAATATGATAGACCCATAAACTGCAGGACTCACTAGCAACTACAAGGCTATGGAAAACTAAAAAACATCTTGAATATATATACCACCACTAAGGAATTTATATATTGAGTTTGCGCATTAGAAGCCATATTAGTTTTAGTATTAGAAAAAACCCATTGAAAGGCCAGAAGAAATGTCACACAGCTTTAAACATTCTTACTCTGCTGGAAAATTCTGTATAGTTCATTTTGTTACTTATATTGCTTATCATCAGAGAAAAATGAACAACATTCATACAGATGAGCTCACTAATTTCAGAATTGGTAACAGAGAATCCTTCATTAGTACAACTACCAGACCTCTCAAGCTAATCCTTCATTTTGTTGATCATAGTATGCACCTAGAACTGTTGGATCACGCTAATTACAACCTAACACTATCAGAACTAATAACTGCAAACAAGAGTTGAAAAAAAACTAATTTCCTAATGCCGGACAAATGAAGTTCCAGCTGTGAACCAAATAACAGTGAACTTGGAAAAGAAAGGACGAAATAGAAACAAGCCTCATTGCCAACTCTTAACCAGTCTCATCATACAATTTCTGCCATTTGTAGTGGCAGTAATACTGAAAAGTCAAAACTCATGGTGACCACATAGATTTTGATATGTAAAATCCTCCTCGGAAAGCATATGAAGTTACTTTTTTGAGTTTTGACAGCATTGCAGATTCCATTTCCATCACCAAATATGACAACCAAAAAAAGTAGATAGATGGCACAAGGTAACAACTTACATAATAGGAATGAGTTTCATACGCAAATATCAAGGAGTTCTACTTCCCCTAATAACTCATAACTCTCAGATTAAATCATCGAATGAACAAAGACAATAGCAACCATATATTTCATACAATACGAAAGTTATAGGCTTCTTACTTGTGCATGCAGTACTTGTATTCTTGACTCCTTACTGTATCTTTTTCCCCTTCCTCCAACTAATTCAAAACACACCAATACATATACTCAGCATCATGAACATAAAGATGAATATCTCAACATACCAAGAGAAACATTCAAAATATAATTTTTTTCTTACAGGATCACTTTGATAAACGCGCTCATAACAAACTGGTGACAAACATTGTAGAGCACAATTCTCCTTGTCTACTGCTGTAGCAATGCACTTCTGACCCCATAATCCACTTTTTTTTCAAAACAAAAACAATACACAAAAATTAGCCAGATTTATATTTTTTTACAATTCCTTCCATAAAAATTGCAATTTTTGGGTGAATAAACAAAATTCAAAAAAAAAAAAAAAATCCAAGCCCATTAGCATTTAGCCATTAGGAAAAAGCTTTGATTCGTTGGGTATTAAAACCCAGAACACAAAATTCAAAGATTTGTGGGCAACTACTCTTCCAAAGCAAAAATTGAAGAGAAAAAAAGAATCTTTTTCTGGGTCCAATAAAACCCAATTCGCAACATGTAACAAATATTTGTGGGTTGAAATTACCTCTCAATATCTGCATAACATTGGAGTTTCTTCTCTCTGATCTCTGCATCCTGTTTGCATTCAACAACAATCAGAAAATATCAAAATAAAAGATGAAAACAGCATTTAAAAAAAAAAAAAACTTACAGAGATTGGACGACGAGACTTAGCAAGTACTGTATTAGAAGAAGACAGAGAAATTAGTGAAAAAATTAAGAGTAAAATAAATTTTTGGTTATTGTCTATGGAAGCCATAGCTTAGATGAACAATTGTTAATTTCAATGATTTGGTTATAATAACAGCTTGTTCCAGTTCCACTATGAGCTTAGAAATCCAAGATTGATTATTTGTTTGACAAATATTAAATTGACCCACAGATTCTTCACTAATGTCATTTTCTCCCTCCAAAATAATTAGAATCCGAATACATCCCAAAAATGTGTAACTTGTTGCAGTTGCAAATAGATTAAAAAAAAAAAATTAAGGAATTTTACATAAATATCATAGTATTAAGAGCTAATTACATGACATTCCTTATTCTTTTCCAAATGACAAAAATCTCTTAAAATTTTGATAGAATTCGGATACATCCCAAAACTTATCGATACATTGCATTTCGATTTTAAATACATCTCTCAATGTCTCGATTTCGAATAAATTAATCAACGTCCTATAATACATCACGTAAGTCCTGATACATTGTGTAAAATGATGTATATACATCTCAAACGTCTTGATATATCGCATCTCGATTTTGAATACATTGATATGGATTGATAGATCACATCAATTTCGGAAATATCATTCAATGTCCCAATACATTGAGTATGTTCCGATACACCGCGTAAAGTGATGTATCTTATCAGTACATCGCATAAAGTAATATATCCGAAAATAGGAGAAGGTAAATATTTTTGTAATTTTTTCAAATGTTGAAATTTTTTTAAAGAATATGATAAAAATAAATTGTATATTTAGGTAAAAAAAAATTTAAAAAAATAAATGGTGCAAATGGCTTTGGTTGGCAGAATGGTGGCATGTTGTGAATACAAGCCCATTTATGATTATTCTATTGGGCTAAATGCTGAGAAGTACTTGGGCCAGAAGTTAAAAGAGATGAATAATCAATGTTTCATTAGCCCATTAGTCTGTTAAAAGGATTTTTGGGGGAAATTTTTTAAAATGTCAATATTTTAGCATTTAAGAGGACTCATTAGCAACAATTTCAATATTTAGTAAAAATGTCATTAGCCCATTAGTCTGTTAAAGGATTTTTTTAAGGGAAATTTTTTAAAATGTCAATATTTTAGCATTTAAGAGGACTCATTAGCAACAATTTCAATATTTAGTAAAAATGTCATTTTAGTTTGTTATGTATATTTTTATTATTTATTTTTATTTAAAGAATATAATTATTTAATAACAGAAAGGAGAAAATTAAGGGGGGAATATTTCAAAAAAAGGCAAGCATCCTTAATTTTTTCATCAGTTACATTTTCAAATTAAATTTAAATTTTATTTTTTTTTTCTCCAGAATTTTACCTTTTTAAAATTATATTCATTCCACAATATATTCTATTTATATTTATTATAGTTTTTTATTAGTTTGTATCATTTCAATAGGTATGCCGAATTTATCTATATAGTCATTTAAGAAATATATTTGTATTTTCATATATTTTTTCCCTATATAGTTATTTTTTTCTTCAAAAATCCTGTATGTATTCATTTCAATATGTATTTTATTTGTATTTCTATTTATTCTAGTTTTTATTTAGAATTTTGTATAATAATATATAAAATACAAAAAATTAGTATGATGAAAAAGTGAATGAAATATAAAATTGAAAAGAAATAATTGAATATTCGGTGTACTCATTCTTAAATAAAACACATAACTAGTTGACATACCTTTAGAATAAATACAAATTAGAAAAAAATATCAAATTCAGTTGACACACCTTTGTTAGTTTGTATTCATTCCAATATGTATGTCAAATAAAATGTAGCTATTTAAGAAATACATTTGTATTCGTATATATTTTCACTATGTATTTATTTTTCTTTTCAAAATCTTGTTTCCTTTTCTAAGTCGTATTCATTCCAATATGTCTATTATTTGTATTTGTATTCGAATACAAATAAACTAATAGAAAGTTGTTCTTCTTATAAATAAAATACATAACTAGTTGACATACATTTGGATGAATACAAATTAGGGACAAATACAAGATCCATAAACCATGCAACATGAAATTTTTAATAAATATAAATATTGATAGTATACATAGTGATTTGAATACAAATTAAAGAAAGCATACCAAATTCTAAAAAAGAACTATAAATACAAAACAAACTAATAGAAAATTGTTCGACAACTATCCGATCTTCGTCGTCTTTTTCAAGATCCTCACGAGTAGACAAAGATTCTACATTTGCGTTCTGAATTTGAGGAAGGTTTTGCACACCAATGAGTCTTGCAAATGTTCTTACCCTCTTTCTTCCCTCATTTTAGCAGCGGATCATACATTATACACTATTTGTTAAATAATAAATAAATTAAAGGATGAAAAGTCACCAGAAATTGGTTGATTAAGATGAATACCTCTACTAAGCCTCTTGGATTCAGCCATTGGAGAGTAAATCATAACGGAAATTGAAAAATACAAACAATATTTTTTTAAGATTTAAACAAAAATAAAATTAGAAAAGAAATCTGAAAATAGGATAAAGATTAGAGATACCTTAATCAAAGTGATTCTTGTTGATTCAATTTTGGATTAAAAAACAACCAAAATATATGGCAAAAAAATATTTGCAACTTGAATGTTGGAGGAAAATCAGAAAAGATAATCATGAGAGAGAGAAAAAAATAAATGGGAGAGAGAATTAACAATTTGAAAAGATAAATATGAGAGAGAATGATTTTTTTTTCTTTTAAAAAAAGGATATATAGAATTAATTGAAAAAGAGAGATAAAATAGGAAGAAAATTGGGACACATAAATTTTTTAAAATAATGACATTTTTGACATTATTGCTAATATTTATAAAGTATGGATATTTTTACTAAATATGTTATTTATTTTGACTAGTTTACTAATTTTTCCTTTTTTAAACAAAAAAAAAATCGAGTTGAGGACAACTGTAAATATATTACTACATCCGATTCCGATGGACAATTAATATGAGACGGAGGAGGGAGTATTGAGCAAGGGAAGCAGAAATTAATTGAGATACGGATTACACTTATATTAATTGGTACATTTCAACCCATGTTTCATGTAGATTAATATAATCTCCCGTCTACTTATTAATTCAATCATTTTGATTCATTCAAATTCAGTTCAAACTCGACTATTAAATCAAAAGCTTGTCCATGACAAATATATTAATTGGTGTGGACAGAAAGTCTTCCAATGTGGTCATGTGAACTAGCTAGTCCTACTTCTCTAGAACAAAAAATAAATAAAACTACTGTAGTTTGTTATTAAATCATTTTAATTGCCAAAATTTTCATGTAGATGTAGTAACTTTTACTGTCTGAATGTATGTGTACAAAGACTAATTCAAATTATTGATAAAGTTTCTAGAAAATTTAAAAAAACTGAATTTTAATCATTTCAACTGTTGATAAAATTTCCAACAAAGGGATGCATGTGCATGTGGCTTTAGTAACCTTTTTATTGTTTTACATTTATATTAATAATAAAATATAATAATTAATAAAAGAATTAAGATAAAAAATATGGAACTCAAAATTGGTAACTTTAACATGATATTACTATTAATTAATAACAATAAAATGTAAGAGTGGTTAATGAAGGAGAATAAATAATTTAAATATTATGATGGAGTAGTTGATATTTGGAAAAGTTTGCCTTAAAAAGTTTCATTAAGGAATGAGGTTTTGGCTTTTCAACTACTTTTTTGTCACATTGTCAATGCCAGTTATCTTCTTGGCATTTGTTAGATATATATTACTCCATTATCTAGATATTATATATTTAAATTATATATAAATATTAATAAAATAATAACTTTTTATTTATTATATTGAATTTTATAAAACAAGTAAGAAGTTATCTATTTTCATAGCGACCATAAAACACACCCTAATATATAATAGAAAATTCAGTATGTTCATTATATATCGTTAGTTAAGTGATATCGACAAAAGCAAAGGTAATGTAATAGTAATAAATAAGGTTTATATATGTTGCACTTTTTGTGTTGTATTATTAGATCAAAATTTAAAAAACTCACATACATGAAAACACAACACTTAGAATTCCTAATTGTGATTATGTGCTTTTATAAAGATGGCAGTTTGGTGTATATACACACATTATCATTGATTAATTCCTTAAATATTCTTTAATACGGCTCTCTAAATATAGTTGCTTTGTCTTCTTCTTTTCTTTCTTTTTTTTTTTCTAAAAAAATTGTGAATGATGACTTATTGACTTACTTTTAAGGTGGTCCAATTTAGAGTCACATTTTGTAAAGTAATTATCTTTGATAGTGCACTTTTACAAAAAAAATTTATATTATAATGTAATTATATATATCTTGATGCAAATTAAATAAAGCTAACTAGAGAGCTATAGGTGACAAACTTTCTACGCATGAGGTTAAAGTTTGTTGAATGTTTGAGTATGCTTTACCATGAAAAGAGAATAATATGTATATAATAATTGTTCCTCATGTGCTAAAAAATTATAACAAACTTCACCTTTTTCTTATTCAAAATATTTTGTACTGTTCTAACTAAACTTTTGTGTGTGTATATATTCTATTCAACATTCATATCTTTTGGAAATAGGTGATATATATATATATATATATATATATATGTGTTTAGATTTGAAATTTATGAGTTTAATATTTAAGATTTGTATCATTGAATTTATTGTGAATTTATATTTGTTTTTAAATAAATTTTTACATCATGTCAAAAGTATCCGGTCATCATTGCGTTGATATTTAGCTTTTCTCTTAAGTAAAGTGTTTGACATTTTGATGTCGACTTATCGGAATTGAAAAAGGTCCCCAAGGGTTAAACTATTTACCGATTCAAGTAGTACATGAATTGAGTTTATAACATTATGAGATAGTTCAATCTTTATCTACCGCTTGATATTAAAGCGAGAACAGAAATAAAAATTCTAAAAGATAAATCTTACCACATGTGTTTTAATTTGATACGTGCTGGAAACACTCGAGAGTTTCTTTCTTTTTGAATGAAACCCACCCAAAAGGAAGAAAAAGAACAATTATGAAAGTTATCTTTTTGGTATAGCTAGACATATATTGTTAAATTTGAAATAAATTGATCTGATTAATTTATATTCACGTTAAGTTTATTATTAAAGAT